ACTCCGTTAATTGTAGGCATACACAAATGGCTACATCCATAGTGCAAGTGAGGATGATGAAGGTGGCCTAGGAAACCTGTTTCTCTGTAGTAGGGGCTGTGGTTACCTTCAGCTGCCACTGACATTCACTGTTGTGAGTTGTGTTATAGGCAGTGAGGTGAGAATCCTGGAGTTTATTATAAGCAATGCTGGGTAGCAGGAAAGGAGTAAATCTGTTGTTCAGAGCAAGGATTGGAGTTTACAGAGACAAAGAGGTTTCCACACTTGTGCTCAGTGCTGTGCTGAGTCCGTTGAGCATTTCCACAACATTTCTCTTAATTAATTGGTAGGCTGTAGTAATTTATTGCCATGGAATTTGTATCCATGTTTGTTTGGAAGTTAATGTAGCTATAGGTTTTGAATATTTCTTCCAGGTACCTTTCTTATCAAGCCTAATAAGAAGTCTGAAGCAGAGAAAAAGTTTGCAAAGCATCTTGGGATGATAGCTGGAGGAACAGGTAAAACTATTCTCATCTTATGGAATGTCTAGAGAATGAAAATGTCTTTATGGATGACTGTGAGAAGTATCACTGTACCTTAGCAGAGTACTTACACCTGTATTTCTTCTCATGAGCATTTGGCAACACAGAGTTGCTTCAGCAGTGGCTCCAGTGGCTTGAGCTCAGTCCTGGGGGGTAGCAACTTCACTTTGAATACTGATTTACCCTGAGACCTCAGAGAAGTCACTTCATCTCTCAGTGACAAAGAGTATTTTAGGAGAATGTCATGAGGGTAAAGTTACTGTATGTGACAGAATGATGAAGAGGAAAGCCCTGTACACAAGTACTGTGGGTTTGTTTTGAAACTATTTGTAATAATAGAAACCCCCAACCCCTGCATTTGATGTGGATTAGAAATTCAGAGATATGTAGCCCTGTGCAGACCAAGCTCCCAGTGAAGACTGAAGAAAGGCAGCATTAATACTGAAACTGTAGCCATAGGAAGAAATACCCATTTTATAACCACTGTGTTTTTTAACAGGAATAACTCCAATGTTGCAGCTGATTCGTCAGATCACAAATGATCCCAAGGACTCCACAAAATGTTACCTTATATTTGCCAATCAGGTGAGTATTCTGACCCACCTGTTTGTTCCTCTTTATTAGCCTGCTTTTGTTTGCTGGCCTCTGGGCTTTTTAAACTTATGGCACACGTTTCATACTCTTCCAGTGTCTTTGGGTTTGCATTTTAACCCAGCCATTTATGAGAAAATACCATCTGAGATAGCACATTTAAAAATGATCAGTATAGGGAAGAGCAGGAAATGGTTATTATGTATATATTGTCTTGGGTTAAAATTATTTAAGAAAGAGAAACTGAATTAAAGAATTATCCTTAAGGCCCTTTATAAATACTTGTGTGGTGCTGTCATGGATTTCTGTGATCTTATTTCATTTGTTTTGAAGGTGTCTCTTCATAGTTTCACTTAATTCCTATATTAGGGAACAAATTCCATTTGGGATCAGATCCTGATCCCTCTACTTATCTTACTTCTTCACTGATTTCAAGGAAAAAGGATTTGTCTCTGCTAATCTGTACAGTTAACCTTCACCATGCTGGTCCAGGGCCATACTTGCCAGCGTCAGAGACAAATCCAGGTCATTGTGACTTTAGCCTGGATTAAAAAGCTGTTCAGATTGCCATCTTTAAGACTGTGTTTAGGTGTCTAATAAGCCTCATAGTCTGTTTTTCTTAAATTGAATTCACAGAAGCCTGTAATGATAACAGATATCACGGAAGGGGGGAAAATCCAAATCACTTTCTTGGTTTGCTTTATCACTGCATTTGTCTTGAATGCCAGATGAGCTCACATCAGAGGGCCCTTGGGATGGTTTGGAGCTAACCAGCAGTCTCATTTTGCAGACAGAAAGTGATATATTGCTGAGAGCTGAGCTAGAAGATATTGCGAAGAGGCACCCTGAGCAGTTTGTGCTGTGGTACACACTGGACAGACCTCCTCAAGGTAGGCTGGGACACACAGGAATGCCTTTGCTTGTTGCTGTACAACAGGCAGAGCTTTGCTCTTGTTCGGGTGAACATCAGATCAAGTCTTCTTTTTTTACACTTTTAAACAGCAAAGACATCCCCCAACTCCTCAGGAAAAAAAACCTTTACCAAAACCCCTGCTTTAAAAAGTGATCTAAGCCAGGTGGGCCTTTAGAAAGTGTGAACTAATAGTTAACTCACATTGGGTCAGACATGTTACTCAGTGGATTTTTCCATGTATTTCAGGATGTGCCTGTTTTTGGGACTTTTCAGCAAAAGTTCAGCTCTGTTTTGGGCTGTCTCCCAGACCAGTTTATGTTGGCATTTTGTTGGCATCAAATTGCCTAATACCTGTAAACATGCACATCTTTATTTTGCAGCAGCTCTAGATTAGGTTCTAGGCTTCCATTATAGACTAGTGTGTTACTTGGGGGCTGGTGTAGGAGTTGAACTCTGTATTTCCTTTGAAACTGGGTATTCATGCTTGCTGATGTAAGGGATCTGAGCACCTCCTGAACAGACAAGAGCCAAACAGAGTCACATCGAAGTTCTGTACCTGTTGTCAGCAAGAGCCATGACTTAAATGGCCAGAGAAGAGTCATCAGCAGGCCTTGATACTCTTCCAGCCTTTCATATTTCTCAGTTTGGAGCCAAATGTGTCTCTAGAGATACAGTCACTCTCAGTGGGCTACATTTGTCAAAACAAAGTGTCTCTCCTGGGTGTTTTGACAGTCTGTGAGTGGTTCCATAGGAATAGCACGTTTCTGTGGAGAACAACTTCCTCTGGTTTCCATTTGCCTTAATCCTTGTGTTGGCAGAGTGTGACTAAGTCTTCACGTTACTAATTTTACAGACCTCTGTCAATCACCCCTGCTGCCACATCTCTTCTACACTGAAGACTGCTGTGATTACATACCTTTGCTCAGCTGTGTCCTCTCAACCCTTTCCAGCTCTGCTGTGTCCCTTGAGCTGAGCTGAGCAGATCAGAACTGAACAACAGCAATCAAGGTGTAGGCAAATTGTATTTTTGCTTTGATGTGATTCTCCCTTTTCCTTTCCTGACCCTTCTTGACATTTCATATGCCTTTTGACTGCTGCTTTTTTCATATCTTGCTCATGAGAAATGAGCTTAAAGCACATACTTTTATATATGAAGGCAGTTTTCCTACTGCTCACTTCAAATGTCAGGTACATTCAATAATATTACTGCTTGAAATAATTTAGCATTTCTTTCCTCTTTTAATTTTTTTTCCTCTTATTTAAATACATGGTGGAGCTTTTGTCATCATTAAACTTTGTCACCTTGATCTCTAAAAAAAAATAAATGCAAAAATGTGTTGGATGGCACAGGTCTCACTAGCTCTCCCTGCACAACTGCCACTGGGTGAGCTCTCTTCACTGGAAAAGCTGATTCACTCTTCCTTTTTATTCTTGCCTGCTCATTTCTTTTAAATCTAACATTTATTCACAGACTTATCAACCAGGTCCTTGTTATCCACATGCTTGTTGTCCCTGTGGAAGGGGACCACTAGGTTTAAGCTCAGTGAGAAATTTAACCCTCTCCTGGCTCACAGTGGTGGTGGCATGACTGCTGATTCTTCAGCTGCTTTGTGAGTGCAACATACACAGTTTAAAAAGGCTTCAGGGTGTATAGATTTTTCAAATTAATAGTTTAATTTCTTTCTTTCAGACTGGAAGTACAGTTCTGGCTTTGTCACTGCAGACATGATGAAAGCCCACCTCCCTGCCCCGGGCAGTGAGACCCTCATTCTCATGTGTGGGCCACCTCCAATGATTCAGTTTGCCTGTCAGCCCAACCTGGACAAGCTTGGCTATCCCAAGAGCAGCACATTTGCTTATTAACACAGATGCCATCTGATACCTTTTTGTGTAAGTACTGTGTATTTTCCTACAGGAACAACTGATATGTAACCGTGCAGCGGTTTTTTGGGGGTGTTTGTGTCTGTGATTGTTTTTAACCCCTAAAAGTAATTTCTGAGGTTTCTAACTTCATAGTTACCTTTCCGTGTTTTGATATTAAGAAATTGAGAAATCATCTTGAGTCGTGTGGCAGTAACTTAGTCTAACCTCTTAAGAGTTAGTATGAAAATGAATTCTGAGGGGAAAAAAAAATTAAGTGTAATCAGAGAGGTAGGAGAGAGAAAACCACTTATTTTTCAACATGGGTTATAAAACTGGTGTAGGATCACTTGACTGTTCCATAGGTAATTCATTTAGTGAATCCTGGGGAAGGAGAGTACAAAGCACAGGGTTTTTTTGTGTTTTGGTTTTTTGTTCCTTTTTTTTAATGCTCTTTTACAGCCCTTTTATCAGGGACTAAGAAAGAAGTCACAGTCTGCTACTGAAAAAGTGAGCACAATTCGGGTAACGTGAAAATTGCTTATTATTGTAACAGAAATTCTCATTAGTGTGAAATTTATTTGGGAGGATTACATGACTTCATGCTGTCTTCTAACAGCCTTAGCTAAAGAAGCACTGCCAAGGGATGTTGCATCATTTGCATGTCATTCTCTTGGAGCTTGCTAAGAAATTTCCTTTGCTTAAGAGATATCATGGCTTCTTTTTGCCTGGTGTAAACTATGCTGAGTTGATCACACTCAGGTAGTGCCTCATCTTAGAGTTTTTACCACTTAGGCACTGAAGACTAAAAATTCAGTGCTGAAGTCCTTCATGGTCATTTTCAGGAATTAGTTCACACTATATTTGACAAATCCCTGGGCCAGCAGACTTGCTTCTTCAGCAGTTAATATAGGTGTTTACTAAATATTTTTATTAATCTAAAGCAAACCTGAAGGAATCTACTAGTTTAAAATTGACATAGGGGTTTTGTACTTTATCAGCTACATTTGTAGCAATAATGCAAGGAAAGACATGGGGATTCAGACTGGGATTCTGTCCCTTATAGAGGTCAGCTACTTGTACTTGTGTTAAATCATTCCACAGTCAGGAAGAGATAAAGGAACATCCAGAATTTATTGCTAACAGTCAAAAAATAAGCATTTATACCAGTGTTATGCTAATTAGGATTTCTTACTACTTATATTTAAAAAAAAATCAATAATTTTATAGATTGACTATTCACAGCCAAGTTAGCACAACAACACACTGAGTTAAAAACACAGCTTTGAAAGAAATAGGAAAATCTGTTTGGAATATCCCAGTGATACTAAGGCTGCCTCTGCTGGAGCAGTTTATCCCATTTGCAGTCTGCTGGCTAATTAACCTGGAAAGGTGTTTCAAATGCCCATGATGCCTGATCTGGTCACTAGTACTGACTGCACTGCCAGACTGGTACATTTAATAGCTTTTATTAAACATTTGTAGTTGGCTGATGTGCAGACTGACATCTCATGCCTCTGGATTTTCCATTATCATTTAATTTTTCAGCAACTGAAAAGAATTTGCTTTGGCTCTACCATTTTGAACCATAAAAATCATGTGTTTAGCTTCCTAAATCTGACTGTACACTCCAAGGTCTGCCATGAGAAACTCATGGAGTGAGGAGTAGGATAGGTCACCTTCAAAAAGTGCCACTGGTAGTTCTCAAAGAGCCCTTGCTGCATGCTCTGGACAATAGTGGAGATTTCCCCTTTATTTGGGAGGGTTGTGGCTGGGAGTGACCTGCCCTCAGGCTCTATTAGTATGTAAAACAACACCCCGCAGTCAGTGAGTGTTGCAAGAGAGTCGGAGAGTAAGGCAAACCAGCCAGATACAAAGTCTTTTCCTTACAGCTAAGCAGATTTCTGTCTGGCATTTCCCTGTTTACTAACATAGCTTGTTAATAGCTCATTAATACAAGAGAGGCACATGTAAACAGATGCCACAAGTAATTGCTGCTGTAAAGGAGATGGTTTCACCCTCAAGCAGCCCCTCAAGTAAGTAGTGAGAGGCCATAATTCCCTCTGCTGCAGTCATGCCTAGCTCAGCAGAGTAGCAACAGATGTGTTTTGCCAGGTGTTTTAAAGAAATAAATATTTGTTTTATTATGATACTTTTCTGGTAGTCTTGGAGTTACAATCGTGCTGTAGTTCAGCATCTTTTTGCATCAGACGAAGATTTGTGAACATGCTAGCTTGTTGTCCTCCTGATAAAATCAAGGGCTTGATGGACAGCATTATGTTCCATTCTTCCCAGAAGACACTGCACTGACTTAGATAAAAAGAGGGCAGGACGTGTGCTAGTGAAAGGGATGAGAGATTAAAATCCTTTATGGGAACCAGTCTGGCAAGACCAGAGTAGTACTGAGTGAGCCATCACTGCTGCACTCACCAGCATCCACCTGAATTTCCAGGTAGCTCTGATGGAAGCCCACACGGTACAGTAGTGTATTAATGATTCCTGCGTTACAAGTTAATTATAAAAATAAAAAATATTACAAAAGGTCTTTCATGTAACACACCATGTAAAAGAGGACTGAATGAAAGGGTAAAACAGGGTGCCAGTCTTGGCTTTCCAGACTCTGGATCTGAGTCCCATTCTTCTCCCAACACCTATTTCATATGACACTATGTGGAAAAACAGCACAGAGGAGAGTTACCTGTGAGGTGTGGCTACATTAAATGCTATGTGCTAAGTCACAGTAGTAGAAGAGAGGTAAAGCCATCCTGCACCAGGGCCTCCAGCTGCTCCTGGCCACTCCTGACAGGCATGAGGTATGAGTAGTGTTCTTGGTCACGCTGGAACATCATCTCCAGTCTTCAAAGGTAGGTGCTAAAAACTTGCTGTCATTCAGCATTTCATCCTGGCTTAACAGCGTCTGAAAAGGCAAGATGGGAGGGAAGGAGTGAGAAAGTGTTCAGTCACAGAAACCCAGCTGTAATGAGATCAGACTCACAACAGGGGGAGTTAGAGCTGCATACAGTTAAAAGGAATTTCTTGAATATAGCTTTAAATACACTTTTTTGCTTGAGGAAATCCTTAGAGAGCTCGTGTGTGGCATGCGACTCAACTACCTTATATAATTCTTCATTATATCATTCAGTCCCTTATTTTTGTTTTTTAATAAATTAGCCTCTGTGGAGTGAGGAGTTAATAATGAGGAAGGGGGGGGTTGTTTGTTTTCCATGGAGTTTTAGCTCATGTACATTTTCAAGTCTGTACCTAAGACATTCCTAGTCCTTGCTGGGACTGAGGCATTTGGTGGTGCAAAATCTTTGAAGAATTGTTTTCATTTAAGGGGATGAATATCTGTCATTGTGTTAAAGAGATAGCAGAGTTCATGAAAACTTAAATAGGCCTAAGTGAAACTTAATTTCTAGAGCAATTTAAAAGCAGGGTGGTTTCTTTACCAAATGCCCAACCAGGCTATAAGGAGGTATTTAACAAGAATAGTGACCCACTTACTCTTAACTACCACCATCAATGACAAACTTTCACTGAATTGTAGCAGACAGAACACATTTGTGACTTTAGAACAAGAGTGAAATGAATACCTACCGTAAGCTGGCTTATGCCTTGAGAAAGAGCCCCTATTTGCATTACTGTGCCTTCTGAGTGTTCCATCTGTAAAAGCATTCAGGAACTAGTTCAAATCAGACAGCATGTGCAATTTTATTCACTCTACATGCATCTTTGGGAGGTATCTGTGCCTGGACAAATGAAGTTGTGGTAAGTTTAAGGGGTGATTTCTGCACGTTAACAAAACTGCCTCCATGATGCGAGGTACACGAAAACGCACTTAGCAATGGGAAGGGTGAATCCTGGTTAGGAAAGATTGATTCCATGAAACTTGGACTCTGTTTCACAGAAGAAAAAAAAAAAAGCTCAACTGATATTATCAAAGAAAAGCAGTATTTTCCAGATGGTCTAACACTGCTTATACTTCTGGTAGGCTTCTTTCACAGGCAAGAAGTAAAAGTCCTTGATAATACAGTCCTACTTTTTTTTTTTACATAAAAGCATAACCAGTTCCATGGTGTTGTGATTTCACAGCATGACCACGTGCTCAGAACCATGCTTAAGTGAAAGACCATGCTCCTAGAGAAAAAAAAATCCAGTATTTCTGTGATGCTTGAACAACTGCATAGTGCAAGTTCTTGACTCAGAGTTAATGCATTCTGTCACAACTCCCAGCTGAACAAGTGGACATCAATACTAAATCACAGGATTTGGTATTCTCCTCATTTAGGAACAGTACCTTATTTTACTAAGGTGTACTTTGAAAAAGACAATGGTTAGATAATGAACACAAATGAGATGTTAGATGCACTAAACCATGCAAATGAAAAAAAAAATACCTTCACAATTAGTCTTTTCAATGTTGTGACCATTCTCTTATCAGGCTTAAAATGTTTTTATCTTACTGGAGAAAAGGCAGTTTACCCCAGGTGCCTCTCTCTGGCTCTTGTGTGTTGCCAGCGTTCACACAAGGCTCCAGGAGCTCCATTTTTCAGGGTTTATATCCCTTTACACAACAGCAAAATTGAAATAAAATTTGATGGTTTTTAGTCTTCATCATTTGTCTTTATGATGCCTAGACAGTTTCATTCACAGGTTCACTACTACATAACAAAAGTGAATTATTTAAGTATTGGTTTATTCATAATCTTGTTCATTACTGAGGCATTGCTTTCACATATACTGTCTAAGCAAAACTACTCCCCACTGTACAGAATGAAAGAAAAATTCAGTTGGATTCTCTGATTAACGTCTGTTAAAAAATACATCCCAGTTGTACTTTGATATAACTTGGTAGCTTTGTACAAATTTGTCCAAATGAATTTATCACATTAAAAACCACCCATAAAGATAATGAAAAAAATAGTGTGCCATACTGAGGTTATGAAAGCTGGAAGTACAAAAAAGTCTTGTGTTTACTGCAGCCACCCCCTTAACTGTTAAAACACATTGATCTTCATAGTGTAAAGGTGTCATAGTCCTGAAAAAGGGCTTGAAGATGGAGGAGTTTATTATGATGTTGATTAAAAAAAAAAATAACCCGGCATTCTTAGTAGAGAACTCTCTCCAGTGTCCACAGCCAACACTTTCTCAGTAAGTTCATGCGGATGCAGCAAACAGGCCAATGTTTGGTTATTTGCAAGCTTTGGAATGCATGGAGAGGATGAGATGAGAATGGCATCAGTCTGTCTGTCCCACCTGATCCAGTTCCCTATCAGTGAAAGGACTAAGTCCTTTGTATCCACCATAGTTTTTTGGAGTACCATTCGTAGCAGCTGGGTTTGTATCCATAGGGCAAATGTAGTCTGTTGATTCATCAAACTTCTTTTTTCTTAAGTTTCCAAAGTGGGAAAATCCAAGTTTCTTTGGCTAGAATAAGAAGACAACACAAGTAGTTTTGAATAAGAGAAATAAGGTTGTTCTCCTTTTGCATTTACTGCTATACCCTGGTCATTGAAGTATGTAGATTCTGAACTAAATACATTTGTTTTCAAATTGGGAATGACAGCTGACATTAAATGCATTTATTTACACTGCGTTCCTTCTAAGAAAAGACAGAACAGATTGCATGCTTATTTCAGAAGCCCATTTAAACAGACACAAATGAAAAGCTTTGGTATCTCGAGTTAAGGAAAATGTAACTCTCCTTCTAGAACTGACCTCCCCCTGTCCACGTTTGTCTTTTATTTTCCTTATCAGACAGGGTAGAGAAGTCTGACATTCTGAGATTTCTCATTCTGACAGCAGTACATACCCGGACTTTGGCAGTGGTGGTCAGAGGTGTGTAGGCTGCTGACTCCATTATTTCTCTTTTTTCTTGCTGTGCCTCTGGTCCAATTAATACATTAAAATTGGTGGTGAGGTGGCGGCGCAGGAGGGTCTTTTGAGGTGGGATGTTCAGGAGCATGGCCAGCGCGTCCCCGTTGAAGCGAGGTTCGAGAATCTATTAAGAAGGCAGCATATTTATTTTTTATATGGTTAAATATTTGCAATAGTAAACCATTCCAGTGCTTATCAAAGGATTTCTCACTCTTACTAAGCCATCTGTCCACATTAGAACTTTTATAGCTCACTGATGATATGATACCAAGGGTTTGAATGGGAAATACATGAAAGGAGAAATAAGAAACGCTGAACGTGATCAGGCAAATATGCATTTATATTTATAATTTTTTGTTTGTTTTCAGAATTTTCTGCCCTAGTCAGAGTATAAACTTAGTACAGTTTCTTCTGTTTCATTTTGGCAAAAATTCTACAGTAGTAAATCATGGTATTTCAGAACTCTGACTTTACTTAGCTGCAAAGAGCTCTAAATTATTTGAATTGAAAAAATGTCATTCCCGGTTGCTGGCAAGACTGCTGTGAGTTCAGGATGGTTATTTACCATGGCTCAGAATTCTGGTAAAACCACTCAAAGAAACGCTCCATGATGCCTTATCAATAATAAGTAACTTTCTCAAGGTACAGTTCAGGTTTTTTTATGTACGGCTGCCAAACACTTGTGCACACTCAGCTTTGGCTATAAAAAATGTTCTAGCAGTGCCTTTTCAATTTTAGTTTTCCTTTGAAAAATTAAGATGCAGGGATGAGATAAAGAGGCTCCTTAGAAGGCCTGATCACAGATGCATTTGTTTCCTCCCGCCTGACGAACATCAGATAAAAGATGTTTTATATTCCAGCCTGTCAGTTTTTAGTAGATAGGTAGTAAAATGCTAAATTCTTACAATCAGGCCCCCGTGCACTCCGCTCCCTCGAAGGTTTGGTGCATATTCTGCCAGATCCACTGATCTGAGCCATTCCATCACTCGGTGGTTGGACCACTGAACCACATCAGAAGGCGACACGTTGTTCTGTTGAAGGAACCAGGAAAGGTGATGACACAACAGCCTGTGTTGTCTGAATGTGCACAATGTGCATCCTCAGTTCAGATAAAAACATCCTTCCTCCTCTTCTCTGCAGTTTTTCCCTGACTGAGGTATTGTTGCTGTTCAAGGCCTCTTTCAGCAGCCTCTGACAGGTTGGCAGGTCTAATTTAGTACGGGTGAAACCCCATGAATTGCATCAAGTAGTGTAACAGTACAGATTAGGGGTATAAAAAGGGACCGTTTTGAGAACAGTGTTATTGACACTTAATACTAAGAGAATAAGATATGCTGATCAGGTAAGGCAAAAACCTTACAGATTTTGAGAGTTAAAAGTTAGGCAAAGAAAAAACATTCCAGGTTATTTCCTCAGAAGTTGAATTAACCTTTAAACTATGCAAATAACTTATAAAGAAAAATGCTTAAGGTTCAACTAATAAGTAGCTCAAACTCTTCAGGAGTGCATATATTTTTACTATCAGTGAGTACATGTTACATGCCAGAGCTGGAAGCACCATGACTGCTGCTTTAGGGGCAATTCCCTAGTAGCAATGATTCTGTTGGTATCATTGTACACTGCTAACCTTCTATCCCTTTTGGCTGGAACCAGGTACTTAGGGCTTGCTTAAATTAATTTATTTGGACATTCTTTTACCTCCTCAACCGGTCTCCTGCGTAGGCAGTGGGGGTTGAAATTGTTGACGTGCAGCACATGAATGGCACATTTAATGCTCAGATGATGCAGCTGACTGGTGACTTTCAGAAAGAGAAGGTCGTTCTGTGAAAGAGAGAGCCTTTTAGGTGGCACAGAAAACACACCAAAACAGGTACTTTCCCCATGAAGAAGGATTTTAAACTTGCTGTGTAGTTTGATATAAATTACAGTAAGTGTGGATTAGGTAAAATGAAAGTTTGCACTCTAAAGAAGAGTTTTAGGGTGGAGGTTTTGGGGAGGATTTTCTGTTGTTGATATTTTTAAAACACTGTGCCATAACAAGACCTGGCTAAAAAAAATGAAGACTGGCATGTAGCCTATTAAGTCAAATCCAGGCTCAAGGATAGTTTTAAAATATTTGGACTGCTTCTGACCTGGCTAATATCCTGCTGTGGGTAGGATCATCACAGCTACCAACACACACCTAACCATGGAGTAGTAGGGACTGTGCTCCTATAATAAGGGCTCCTTAAGCAGCATAGACAAAGCTGTACTTTTGATAACAGCTATTTTAGGCAGTCCTTTCATAGCACAGTTAACAAAAAACCCCAAACCCCAAAAACTTAACTATCCAGACCTGGGCAGGGCAGTGGGAAGAAAACACTGTGGCTGTACGTGGTACATGGTGTGCTGTGAATGTGGTTGGAGTTGGACAGATCACTGAATTTGCTGCTTTTAGTTTACTGAATGTTGTTTCTAATTTGGTGTGGAGAACAATGTGCTCCAGAAGTTACATGCGAAACAGGCCATTTTGCCTTTAATCATGGTGTGATAGTGAAAGAAACTGGCTGTAACAAATGACTTATTTTATGTACCTTAGGAATAGTAATCATGCACTAGGCAGCACAAATTTCTGACTCGCAAAAATTCTTTAGGTGCTCACATTCAAAGGGAAATTGTACAATTTTTCACTCATTATGAAGTTAAATTTGGTTTAACTGAGGAAAAAAAAGGATTGTAGCTTACCACAGTTAAGTACTGCAACATCCTCCCATCAACTCTGGATTCATGAAACTGGTCTTTGTACTGAGGTAAGCCAATGTCATCGAGCCATCCTGCAGGTATGAGAGCAATATCCAGATCAGTGAGAACAAAGCCCTTCTCCCCTTTTGTCTGGCCTGGCTCCTTTCGAGGCATTCAGGTAGCTCATTCAACCTATTCCCCTTTCCAAAGGACAGCCTCTTGCTAGTAACCTGAAAGCAATTCCCACCAAACAGCTTTGTCCATACTACCCCTGTGGTACTTGACATACAGCACATGATGGAGCACACACCTGCAGCATAATGTAACTGTTGCTGGATTGAGCATCCCCATTTACTTCCCAGCAATCTGACAGACTTCCCCTGTGGGAGATCATACTGTAAGCTCTATATCTGGGTGTCAAGAAAAACATAAAAAATCCTCAATTCTACTATGGTGAAACTTAAGTGTTTTTAAAAGATATTTGGTAACTGCTTAAACACGTATCAGGCTTCCCGCTCATAGTGGTGGGGAAAATTCCTTTCCAAACAATTCCATGAGAGTTCAAACACTTACGTGTCACCCAGATATGATCAAGTTGTGCAGACTTCTCATCCTGTTTTGCATTTATTGACTTAATGGCCAAAACTAATTTCTTCCTGTGCAGTGGATGCTTTATTCCCATTTCCTGCAAAAATTAACCATTATCAAAGATTTTGCCTCGCCTCTGGCTCTTTTGATCGCTGAGGCACCTACAAAAATTGACATTATGCATTTCAGAAAGGCAGAACTGCCAAGGGTTTGAAGGGGCCTGGTTATACAGAACCAACAGGTGAGGCTGTTTGAGAGAAACAGGGACAGAAAACGTACCTTTTCCATGTCCTGAGGTGTGGCAGTTAACAGTGTGTGGCCCGACGTCACCCACTGCCGCGCAAAAATGACGTACTGGCCGAGACCAAAGTCCTCAAGCCAGTTACAAACTCTCTCGGTGCTCCACTGAGCAAATGGAGCGTTGTAGTCACTGAAAAGTATAAGAAACATTGGAAAAATCTTAAAGAAAAGAATGAATGTTTTGCACTGGAAAAATCTTAAAGAAAAGAATGAATTCTTGCATTGGAAAGCTCTTCACGTGCCAGAGGCAGCACTGCAGCGAATCTGTCAGTGTGCCCTGCCCTGTGCAGCAAGAAAAGCCAACAGCCCCTCTGGCAGTAGGTGCTGTGGTACCAGTGTCCTGTTAATTTGCCTGCCCAGCCACAACTGGTGAGGAGTTGGGGGTGTGGACAGGAATTTCCCATTTTCTATTTGAAAAGAGGAAAAAGGGGAATCGCTGAATCCTCATCATTATGCAGGTGTTCTCACAGGATAAGGTGAAATTTTTGACACTCCACCAAGGAGTGAGTGCTGCAACCTGCAGCTGCAGGAGTGTGGACAAGGGAGCTTCTCGGGATACATTTGCTACCAGAGAAATTCTTGCCGCTTGTGAAATTCCACGTGTAGTGAAAAATGCATTTCACAAGAGGAGGGTCTGGCTGTTCAGCACATTTATAACACAACCCCACGATGTGCTGTGTAAGGTGAAGAAGGAGCCATTACCTCTTCTGGCCTTTGGTGTCCTTGGACCGGGATAACCGAGGCCCAGCTGTAGCACGGAGGCCACCTCTTCGGAACTCTGCCAACCCCAGGTCGTCTGCAGGGAAGTTACCTGACTGAGTTCTTCTTATTCTTGCAAGACAAGAGTGCCATGACAGTACTATTAGCTTGTGACAGAGGACATGGGTTTCTGTGGAAACTACAGTGACAACTAGAGGCTGTATGAACCTTCCTGTAAATCACAAATGCTGAATTCCAGTGGTAGCTGAGAAAGTTCCAGCAAATGCAGTCTAGACCTAATCCTTGGGGAAAAAAAGAGCTCCACAGAGCAGCCATAACACTTCAATCCAATTAATAATCCAGACTTGGAAATGGCTGATGTTTCTGAAGTGGCTCAAATGAGCACAGCACAACTCAGTCTCCCTGCTTTTTGTTCCTCCTGTTTTCTCTCATTTTTTTTTTACCTGATACCTTCTGATGTAATGAACAACCTACTATCATTTAATTTTTCATGGCTAATGAAACTGCTGGCATGCTAAATTAATAGCATTAAGACGACAGCAGTGTCATATTTCCTTCACCAGCATGACGCTGGGAACACTCCCATCCATTTTTCTACACCCCTGTCTATGTACACAGAGACACCAGTGCAATCCCAGAGCTGTTTCCTCTCCTTTTCCTGAATTTTAGTTTATTCTTGATGTAGATAATTATAGCTTTTGCTAGGAATTGGATTAATTCTCAGCTGAAATGCTTCGAGAGTGAATTAAAAAAATGACCTTACTTTCCCCAGATTTTCTTGATCCCTTTTGGACTCTTTCTGTTTTCTGGAGACCATGGAGATTGTGGACTTGAATCCGTTCCCGAAGAAAGAGGTGAAGGGTCATCTGAGACTACTGTACCATCCATGTTCTCTGTTTCTCCTGGGTTAAGAACAGCATTACAGTCACATTTTGTACTAATTATTGGTAAAGTTTGTGTCTGGGAGACTGATATTTTAATGCAGACCATAATAAAAAAGTACAGATACCTGTAAAATTGTTCTTGTATCAAAAAAACCCAAAACATGCTCAGAAGGTGAAAAAAACAGTAGCTGTAGATTTGATACAAAAAAAGAAAATAATAAAACATGGGTAAAATAGTATTGTTATTTCGGTCATTTGTATTTAACTACATTATTTTAATTCATTTAAGGTCTTCAGACTTTTGCCTTGCCTGCTGTTTAATACCATAACTCCTCCATCACAATCAGTGGGAATTTTTCTGACTTCAGTGAAAACAGAATGACACCAGGAAACAGTGTCTTAAAAAGAAATCCCATCTGAATGCCAATACAGCAAAAGCTGTTACTTCATTTCAGTACTGCACATAAGGAATTCAGACTGGATGACCCACTGGGTGTTAGCATTTCATAGAGAAAGGGAGGGGGAAAAAAGAAAGAAAAAAAAAAGTAAGCAGCAAAACTGGTGTTAAAGTTGCATCTTTTTTGGATACAGTACCTAGCACTGGTGCACTGACACTCCTGATGCGATCTTCAGTCATCCCAAGAAGCAGAAAGCCAGATGAAGAAGCAAAGAAGATATAAAACACCAGCAAAATAAAGTTACAGAAGAGCAAAGTAGTAAGCTAAGCATTAAAAGCAGGAACAAAAAGAAAAGAAGCAGTTATGCCTGACATGGAAGTGAATATGCTTTGGTGTGCACAAGCCCCAAGAATTCTCAATACAGATCATCCTGAATAGATAGGGATGATCAATTATCTGTTTTGGGTTTGTTTTTGTTTTTAATTATTCTTTGCCCATTTAAACACATTAAGCATATACTACAGAGCTCCACAAAGCCTGCAGAGTATCTGAAATGAAGCAATGTCTAAGATTACATCGAATTCCTCTGAATTTGGAGGAACTGGAGGTGTACTGAGTTTACTGCACAAGAAACAAACCAACCTGCACAAAAAATTCTTTTAACTCAGTGTATTTAAGAAGCCATTGCTTGTTTCTAGAAAAAGAACATTTTCCTTTACGAGCTCACCCATCCTTGGATAATCCTGCAGTTATAACAGCATGGCTCATGCCATTGCCTACAATGTTGCAGTTACAGAAAAACTCTTTAAAAAACCCCCTAAACTACCACATCCTGTGGCAATCTTGAAACTACAGCACCCTGGAAGATTTTAGGACCACGAGGCCTTAAAATAAACCAACCCCCACCAAATAAAAAAAAGCCAGCCAAACAAAAAAACCCCACGTGACTTTTAAACTGTAGAAACACCTCAGAATCACAAGGGATACTCTCATGCCTGAGCTTCCCAAGCCCTTTAGTCCTTGGGAAATACCTGGTTGTGTGCCTCACTGTAACACTTCTTGTCAATAAATCTGTGTTTAAGGTGTCACTGAAAAGAAATTATTACAGGCTTCCACAGGACCGTGGTTGTGGACTAACAATACATTTGTAGTTCCAAAATCCACGGGTGTTTTTCTGCATTTAGCAAGTTAAATTTTCACTTGTGGGTCCCCACAAGCTACAGCAACTGACAGTGCTGGATACAAGGATTTTTATTTGAAATGTGCATGTTAGTGCTACTTGTACTGTAAAGTTTCACCCACTAAAATGCAGTGGGGATGGTAAGGAATGGGTTTGTTTGTTTTATTTAATACCCCAATCTAGTGTGCATTTTTAAAAGCATTGATGATGTACTTGGCTGTGCATTTTTGTTTGCTTACCTTTTTTTTTTTTTTAAGAGAACAGATGAGCAAGCTCAAGCACTGGAAGCATGTCTGGAAAAAATACTGCTTGTTCATACTGTGAATATGTCTGCCTCTCTAAAAGTTCTGATTTTTAATCAGAGATTCGTTGACTTTCAGAAGGCTCTGTCCACAGTGTCCGAAACCCTGTCTCTTCATTACTTAAGCTATCAATGATTTCAGCAAATTGTGTTGTCAAATGCAACAGAAAAGAACTCTCCAACTTAAAGCCATCCTTTACTCCCCAGTGAGTTAATTTTTGGTACATTGTTTAAAAAAAAAAAAAAAAAAAAGGCAGTAGAACGCTCCCTAACTGAATCATGCAAAAACAACACCATTGTTCTGGCACAGCAGATTATATCCCATGCTCTGTCCCAATCCCTCAAACAGTTTGCTTTGTCCCCTCCCCATAACCCTCTCAGAGAGCTGTGGGTACATACTCAGGCCCGGGACGCCGTTTTCCTCGCTCATCCCACATCCATCTGGAGAGTGATATGTTCCCTGCTCTCCATTCTGCAAGGGTCGGGGCATCTTTCCTGGCAAGGTTTGGTACTTGCTGCCCTTCACAACTGGCTTACTCTTTGTTTTTTTCAAAGAGAAAAAAATAAAATAAATAAATTAAAAAAAAAAATCAAATCACTTGCAGCATTTGCAACCCAGTACACAACGATTTCAAAGCTGGGGAAAAGTGCTTGAAGTTCACAGTTCAAAATGCCTCCACTCCCTCCCTGTTCCTGCTTACAGATAACTCAATGTAAACCCAACAGTCAGCTGGCAGTTTTCTAGCTAAGACACAGTCTTGTCTTCCCTCATCTGCTCCTCCCACTCTAGCCAGACTCTATAATACATTAAAATACATGTTGAATATTACCTGGTTTTTGTCATAAGAACTTTTCTAACTGTCTTCTCTTCTAGACCTCAGCACTATATAATTACTTGGTCCTTACAAGGTCAACTTTGATAGTGCCAAAAATGCATCTGGTTACTTCTCAGACTGTTTTTTTTATTCTGCCATTTTTTCCCCCCTTATTTTTCACCAGACTGTCTCTGTTTCTGCCTCACAATTTTATCTTGCTGGAATTTGAACCAAAAGTATTTATACACCTCGAATTTTCTCAAACATGTTTTCCACCACCATTAATAACAGTAAAGGAATCGACAGCAAAGTCAGGGTACAGAAATTTAACGTTTGCAGGGACTGAGATCTCTTTGCACAGACAAAATTACAAATGCAAGGTTTTTTTAAAAAAAAATAATTACAGCTAAACATATAGTTGCCAAATATACTATCATTGCCAATTCTATTACAGAACCTAAGCACAAGGTATACTTTTGATAGATGCTGGGAAAAAAAAAGCATAGACTGAACTGTATTTTAGGGCTGACCCCACAAGTTTTGTCCACATCAGGCTAAAGTAAGAGTCTAAGCTTTGCTCTCCTGCACACATTCAGTGTCACTGGCATCACAGCCCCCAAGCAGTGGTCCCCAAAATCTCACTGTATTGTACTGAAAGGGAACTGGTACCGAGGCTTTGCTAAAAATAGAATCTCTCTTAATTTTCCTTGCATTCAAGTGATCATCTCACTTGGGGATCTTGCTCCTTGTACAAGGGTAGATGAGAAGGTGCCTAATAAATCTGACAGTTTTGAGCCTAAGAAGATACTTCTCCAGGCAAAGTACATGTGTTTTGGAAATACAGCATTGAGACTTCTTGAATACTGGCTCCATATGAAAAAATGGATGAGCCACCACTCTGGGAAAAATGTATATCCCAAAACTGTCAAAACAGGGGAACAGAGATGCTTTTCGAGAAAACCTGCAACTCCAATTGACATTAGTGGGAGTGGTGTACATTAAACATGTGTTTTGGAATAAACTGGTCAATGTTTCAATCACAGAACGGAGGTTTTGTAGGAAAACTTTATACTGAAAACATGTAAACCATATTTAGTATACAGGAACATACAGTATGCTACTATTTAGTAAACCCATTCTAACAAAATTGTTTTAAAACACTGTCTGGGACAGGATGAGACATTAAATATTTAATGAGATAACTACTGCTTTAATCTATTCTTATTTCAAGGCCTAGAGGGATCTTTGGATACTGCAGCTGCAGGTCAGATTAATCAGTTCCTCAACTCCTGCTCCTTTTTTGGTAGCTGCAGGAGTACATCCCAACTTGTACCAAAATTTGTATGAGTAGAGAAATTGCTTCTAACATCAGCACTGTATTTCCTGAAACCGACTGACTTCAGCTTCTAACCTCATGTAACAACTTTTAGATAAAAAGAAAAAAAAAAAAGATTTCCCTCTCAAATTTTTACCCCTGCTCTCAGAGTTTGTCAGCACTGGAACTATGCAAACATTTTAAAGAAAGAAAATGAACATAAAACGAAAACCCAGCCATACCATCACAGCACATCACAACAGAGAATTGTTAGGAAAGGTTGCAGTTAATATACCTCTTGTTCTACAACAGGCTGTGCTGGTTTTCCATCTACATACTACGGAGTTTCAGGGAGGGCAATTTCAAAGTTTTATGGAAAAAAAGCAACAGACAAATGTTAGTATTAACATACATACACAGAACATCAATTGTAGTCTTATTACTATAGTGATGGTGCTTAATGTATGGACAAAATATTACAAGGACTGTTATATTTTCATTTAATTTCAATCCAATATTTAATACCAATTGTGTTTGCTCATTCTCCACTCTACAAAATTTGGGCCCTGTCTAGGTTCTGCTGTGATCAAAGGAATTTTGCTGTTTTCAGGCTTCTGGGTGGTCCCTTTAGACTTACTTTAAGCTGGGAACATAACAGCTGTTTTAAAGTTAGAGCAGTATGAAAATGACTGACATAAAATAACATACACAATACTGTATGTACCCAGCTGAAATCATAAAGAGCTGTGGTAGAAGTGAAGTGATAAAAATACCAGCATGGCTAGGTCAGGGACACCAGTGTGGCTTGCAATTTTTTTATTATTATTATTGCTGGAAGGAAATGGAATTTGAGCTTTATGCAACGCAGAAGAGCTCCAGTAAACAGTGGTGCTAGCACAGGTTCTCTTGGAATTAATGCAAAAAGCAGTCTGTCATGCTGGGTGAGCAAAACAAGTTTTCTTGGCCTTAGTTTTGGTTGTAACATTCACATTTAGCCACTCACTCATATGCACAGGGAGGTCTCTTTCACCAAGAGGCCTCGTGCCTAAATTAGGGCACACAATTTAAATGCCTTGCTGAACATGGGGCTGGCTTGCTACAACTCTCATATCCTTGGTGGGTTTTCCTTTCTCTATGGGCTCTGATTTCATGGATAGAGCAAATTTACAGCATAAACCTGTAGGTACAGCCTAATCACAGCATAACACAGGGACAAATTAAGATTTTGAATTGAAGTTATGAAAAGAAAACAGACCTTCATAAATTCTTTGTTGAATGAAGTGTTAGTTCTGATTTGTCACGTGTGTGTATGACCACAATTGAATGAGTGCAACACAAATTTCACATATTCTAATTGTTCACTGTCATCTTCAGCGACTTAAGAAAAATTTTTAAAAAATTTAAGCACTGGAGCAATCACATTACCAGTATCTGTTTTAAATTACATGACTGGGTGTAAGTAACCTAGTATTAAGCCTAATTTGAGTACAGAAAGCATCAACAACAGTCTCACAAAGCATAATTACAAGTGCAGAACAATGTCAGTACATAATGACAAAACAAGACTCTGGACCACAACGTAACGAGACTTTGCAAATTGGGAAGTCTTTATTCTGGAATGGAATTAAAGTCTTTGAAGTAATAACAGTGCTCCTGCTGTCTTAACTAAGGCAGCATCACTACCATCTTCAGAAATGCCATTTATATCAGAAGTCTAAGGGAGCAACACTCATAGCTGCATGCAAACACTTAAAAAGGAATCCTATGTGGAAATGCCCATTTCCACATTTAACTACTTTCAGGATTTGCTGCCTTAACATTTTTAGTGATTTGGAAATAAAATTTATTTTAAACACACCTATAAACAAAATAATACTGCAGTTTTATCATCAGGGCTTTTTCCCCACATACAATGCCAGTGGTGGTTAAAGTTACTTAATGTGAAATAAAACAAATATTTGTACTTGACCTTTGTCTTTTAGTTGTGATATTAAAGACCAGAAACTGTGATTACAAATAAACCAACCTTTTCCAGGGATTCACTCTGCAAGTCTTCTAAACTACTTGACTTTTTTTTCTGTGGAACCCTTAAAAAAGTGACAGGGGAAAAAAAGCAGCAGTTAATACAACATAGTACATTTGTATACATCACAAGTGCCTCCTATGACAGCTGTACAGATCACACTTTGTTACATTTGCATGTAACAGATAATTCAGAATTGAGAGATTATTTTTAGTCTAAAAATCATAGTATTAGAAACTGCAGTAGATGAAGTCAGGAACAGCAACAAGACATCCTGTGATCAGCAATGGAAGGCAACAAGGCCCAGTGTGCAGCTTTAAACCCTGTACCTACACATGACTTTTTAGAAGCTCTTAACAAGCAAAAGTACAGGGCAATAACTCCCTGTGAGCAATGTGGACACATTAAGGGATTTTAAAAAGGAAAAATGTTTCACATTTCAAAGTTACTCATTCTTACCTGTTTATGATTTCCAAAGATTCTTCTTGTGGAGAGGTCATATTAGTCGAAGATACTGGAATGCTTCCACTTTAAATACAAATAAATGTCATAGCTTTAAGTACTGCAGTACATATATCTTCTGATATACAAAAGTGCTGATTTATTCATGTAATTCAAACCTTACAGAACTAAGCATTGCAAACCTCCCTGGCAAACACTGCTTTCACAAGTACCCAAAAGTACAGCAAAGCCAAGAACAGTCAAGACAAGATACCAACAGTTAAACAGCCTAAATAATACAGATTTAGGACAACCCACATGAAACACAAGAAAGAAAGAAAGCTCTTGCCTGATTTCCATAGCTTTGTGTGGCACTGGAGGGAGCACAGCTTGTGACAATTCTCCTGAAGAGGCCTTTGTAAAAGACAAGAGTTTCAAGCCTGTAATTCTGGTGTCTGAGGTTGAATCTACCATGCCCATACCAGGAAGTACAAAAATTCAGCCAGGGCCAAACCCTCATCTACGTTACTACAGAGAAACCAACACCAAAAAAATCATATATACGGCAGAACTCGCTTCTAAAAACATCTTTGCTAAGTACCTCTGTTTTCAGTAATTCTCCTTGAGAATTATTCAAAAGATTCCACTTCCTTAAAGTTATCTCAACTTCCTCTTCACTGCCACCAGAGACAGAAGAGCCTGTGAGCATTAAAGAGTAGAGGTAGAAAGGGAGAGAAACAGGCAAAAAAATGACATTTAAGCCCATATCAGACAGCCTAAATTCTTCGATCTCTAAATTCCCCTTCAGTCTTTCTTTGTAATTTACCACCCTCTCTGCTCCCCACCCCTCCTTTGGGCTCTGATTTACCATCAAAATGATTTATATCAGAGCAACAAATGTATCACTTTCAGTTGCATGCTTTGCTCTGCTGTGAGCAGCTGAGCTGCTCATGAGGCAGCTTCTGAACCACTTGTGATTCATAGTTTGATGTTCTGGGCCAAGCTAAAGTTGGTACCATTTTCTTACTCGCCATGGATCACAGTGTGGACAATCTCACTGTGCACTGTAGGTCCTACACAGGCTTGTGGTACCAACTCAATAATCCAGAGCACCATGGATTGTTCATGTACACAAGTGGCCTCCAAAAAACATGTTCCACAGGGGAATAGTGCACTCGGATCTGTGCAACCGGGATGTGGCCAAGGACAGCGGACAAAAGCTACAATCACACCTTTGGATTTACTTTCAGAACACTTTCAAGTGAGAGACTTTTTTTTTTTTTTAATGAACATTAAGAGAGAGATTTACTTGTCTCTTGTGTGTTAAATACAAGTTTCCATTCTTCCAGAGAAGGCCTGAAAATATCGTGTTTGTTAACGTGATGATATGCGCTGAACAAAACTGTCCTTTCAGAAGGTCAAGTTTCCCAGACTAGATTCAGTACTGGAAAGTATGGTGGCAGCTTAAAATGAGATTGTCCTAACCCCTACTCTGCTTCCTGCAGCGTAACTGAGAAATGGGACAAAGATCTTTCTGTAGATTTTAAAGTAAAATATATAAATATTGTGTACACCAAAGCAATCGTGGGTTTTCAGTTGTTCCTTCCAAAAAGAACTTGCCTAGGCAGCTGTCAGGACTTTTTTTTAGTGGAAGGGAAGGGCAATAGAACTTACTAGATTTATTGCAACTCCTTTTAGCAAAAAAGAATAAAAGTCCTCCTAACAGTATCAAATTGCACCTGAGATCAGCTTTCCTTTTATGAATGCCACATAAAAAACATGACATAAAACATTACCACTAGCTCCCTGGCAGTTGAGCATTACTGCCATTCCTGAATTGAACTGTGGTGTAGGAAATCTGAATATAGGATGTATTTAATCAATTAATGTTCATAAAGGTCTCCTGGTATCATTTCACACTGTAAAAACTGGCTACTCATAACACAATGATCACAGGAAACACCACATAAACTTAATACCTATCTGTATACCTTATTCATCTCCTACAGATGAATTAGTTTAAATCACATAATGTCATTTTAATTTTGAGTAATAGATTTTTTGAGAGCAATATAATGCCTTTTCAAACTACAGGTAATAACACAAGTCTGGTCAAGACATACTGTGGTTCTCTCTGTATCTGAAAAAGTATATATTTACTGTCATAGCACTCCAACGTGATACAAAGACATGCATAATAAAATATATATTACTATATACATACATTTAAAAGGACAGCAAATAGTAGTTGTAGCACATGCAGTTTTTAAAAGACCTGATATCAGGAAATAATTCACAAGACGTTTTACCATGAGCTGCAATCATGATGTCTTTGACCCTCCTGTACTGGCTCAGCAACAGCGTCAGTTCCTCTATTCGACGGTCCTGTGAAAAACATTAAACAAGATCACAGTTAAAATCCTACATTTTTAACCTGCAGGAACGCTGTGCTACATTTCTGTGATTTTCATGAAAGCAGGATCAAGTCTCTCCCATGCCTTGTAAGGAATGTTTCTTGGCTTTTATTTGCCATTGTACATAGTATTTGCTAGACAGCGTGAAATTATGGATGTAAGGAAACAAGAGGAGCTTTACGTTAGTAGTAAATTAGTTATTTACAGAAGCATAATTTGGAAATCTGCTTTCACTTCTAAGAGTGATGGCAATATTCTGGAGTTGAACCTCAATTGCCTGAAGTGGGCAGTGTTTTACCACACCTGTCATCATAAAGTGAATCATGTTTATGTTTTGTTTAGTTTAACCATCTAGTCATGCTCTTTAATCCTGTCTGTAGGATGTTCTCCATTCTGACAACTGCACTTACTCCAGTTTTGAACACACCTGTTTGAAGTCCAGGCAGTCAAACCCACACAGGACCAAAGAAATGAGGCCTTGTGAATGTCTGATGCATTTTCTGACTCCACTCCTTCTCCAGTACCTAATGCTTTCCTATTAAATGCAGAAAGCATCTTGATCCATGTATTCAGGGAGGGCACTTGCCTTTTGCACTCTCACAGTTTGTCCTGTTTCTTTAACCCCAGTTCTAAACCATTCCTCTGTGATAATCCTGCCCAGTACTGTGACTACAGAGCACCGAATACAAACCCAAGCAAGAACAAAGAACTAGTTTTCACAAGCAGGTGTCAGGAAAGCCACAGAAACAAAGAAGTGGGCACTGGAAAAAGAAAAATTTTCCAAGGAAGCTGACAAGTATTTAAGGAATTATCTGACACCGAGCTGCTGCCCTGCCACAGCTGTGTCAGTGTCAGAGGTAATTCTATTAAAATCTGCTCTGGCACGTGTATGCTACATTACAGCCACAGCAGATACCCACCAAGGTGGAGGAGTAACTGCACAGAAACCAGATCTTTACCACTTTACAAAACAGCAGATGATGCTGATCCTCCCTTCACCTTCAGCAAAATATAACATGAGGAAAAAGAGGCCTAAACCAGATACATCCCGTTATCCCAACCATGGATGGAAGCAGCAGGTTCCTATTCATAGCAAAGACCTGAGACTAACACACCCAGTTTTTAAAAAACAGAAATACGTGCACAACTTACTACCAACTTAGTTCAGCACTTTCTGTCTTAAGTGACACAGGGAATATTTAGAGTTATCCCAAAAGCTATTCTGAGGTCCTTTCCCTCAGGAAGAATACTTTATTTTGCAGTGTTATTGAAGGTAACAGTTCTGCATGAAACACTGAAGAAGCTGTGGGTCAACCATCAGTCCACTAGTTTAAACACTACAGTTTTCAAGGAAATAACCCGCCTTCCTCTGTGAGTGCATCCAGATATTAGGACATAAGCAGCAATATTTTGTGTTCCCTTCATATACAAAAACACCTTATGCAGACTTGGAATAATTTTGTCAAGAGATAATGACACATCTTTTATTTTCCAGATGTAAATTTTGGCTTTTTAAGAGTTTTTGAGAACTAAAATATTGTTATGAACCACATTAATGTTCTCCAGAATTAATGTTGTCCTGTCCGGATCACCCACTTACTAAAAGAAGATTTTAGGGATGCATATTATTGTTTATTTGATTGTAGAGGAGAGTGTCACCATAAAGGAAAATCTTATGGCTTGATTTATTATCATAAAAACTACAGTCTGCTGAAGAATGAATCCCCTATTTAAATAGATTTAATTCCACTCCTTCTCCTTTAGTGCTCTTTTTTTTTCCCTTCCTCTTATTTATTTACATCCTGTTCCCTTTCTCCTCAAATCTGAGTCTGCATCAGAGGCCACTTTGACTTCCTTTTAATATCAGAATCTAAATTGGGTTTAGATGCACTTTGGGTTAGGTTGGAAGACAAAGAGTTGCCAGAGATGAGCAAACCTCAGGGATCTTTTCAGTAGCAGAAAACAGGAGATTTTGCTCATTACATCCTTGGCTTTGTCCTCCCCTCTGGAATGTAATGAGCCTCCCAAATTCTTCAGCCAGGTTAGCAAAGTCAGCCACACTTTCTCTTTAAACATCAGTCTTCTGTCACAACCTCACAGGATAATCCAAACATCCTGACAACACCACTCTTACAGAAAGTGTGTTTTCAGAACATTTCAGAGGTTCAAACCCACAATTTCATTCTTACTGTGTAGAATGAGGATTTTTTTTCTCACCTTTTCTTCATTTGCAGCCAATAACGATTCCATTCCTATCTTCAGTCGCTGAACTTCTTGATCTAAAAATGTTTTTAAAATGTTATAAGAAAAAACCCACTTGCTATATTTAGTGTAAATATATATTTTGTGATACTCTCCCTATGTTCTTATAACTAACCAAAACCATGTCAGTGGCAGGGCCAATGCACTATTAAACTACATTTAACTTAGAATTTTTCAAAAGCTGAACTATTTAAAGCATTGCACAACACAAACATCCTGGTTTTGCTTATAAAAGGCTACATAATACTATTTTAAACTATGAAAGTAAAGCACTGGGGAAAAAAGGAAACACTGAAGCTCATTTTGCAAAAGATTAGAGCGTGTTTGCTGTTATATACTTAAGGAAATAATTTTAAGTGGGATTGAAAATGAGTTATGTTGCACCTGAGAAAAATATTTGGCAGCTTATGAGAAGTAGTTCAAGGACATTCATGGAACTTGGAAGTGAAAAGTAACAAAAAATTGGTTCGATACAAAGAAAATCTGTAGAATATTTTTCTTAAACATTTCAGTATGAATAACTAGGTTAAAATCTACATCATGAACTAAAACAGATTTGCCTCACACACAGTTTAGTGTTACATGATAAAGGCTATTCAGGAACGCTGTAGCCAAATCAATCAAAACACACCCTCTGAAAATGTATGAGGTTGTAAAAGCTGAACCAAATCCTAACTTTGCTGGACCAAATCTTTCATTTCTTTTCTAGACACTATTCCTAGCAAGTCCTCCAGTACCAACCTATACAGAATCAAGTGTAAGTGATGGAGACAGAACCTGAAATAGTGTATCTGTTGTAACTACCACTCCAGGGAGTCATGCTTTGACATTAAACCAGACCCACTTGTTCACAAAAGACTATGAAAACAGATGTGTCAGACGTGAGAGAGGGGAAAGAAAATCAATATTGCTAAAGAGCATCTGTAAAAAAAAAATTTTACAAGTAAATGTTGAACATACAATGCCATGGCTAAACTACTTGCAAAAGCTGTAATTAGTTTTTATTGCAGTGATTCTGCAAAATGCACACCTCTCAATGATTAAGTTTTAGGACATGTAAATGAACCTTGCAGACTTAATTACACAGGGCATGCACAGGCACAGCCAAATCAAAAACTGAAGTCAGCAGGCAGTGGGCAAGCAATTGAAAGACTTTTAAAAAATCACGGTCCTGCTAATTTCTCATTATAAATATTAGACTTCAAAGAGGACTGGTGTCAAGGCAGCTTTAGGCACACTAAAGCAAACTTTATTTACAATATTTTTTTAACAACATCAAGTATGGAAACATTTATTCGGACTTTTTTTTTTTTTAAATTTACTGTGCTGATTTAAGACAAAAACCCACCAAAATCCTTCCCCTCCACGGAAGAAGACCTTCAATTAGAGCCATCTTCCCAGATATTACGTGGGGTTTACACATGTGCAAACAGAAAGAGGTAAAGGTTAAGCTTTGGCTCTGTTAACCTTGACATCTTCCCTTTGAAGTCCAACGATCTGATTCGTGAACCTCTGACTTTTACTTCTGAAGTGAAATCTTACTGAACAGGGCAAGTAGCTGTCTGCTTGCTGCAAGCAATGGAAGCAGTGTCTCATGTATATTACAATTAGACAGCCAAATCTAAACAAACATTGAATGCATCTGAGTTATAATTGGTGTGAAAAGAACAGTGAGGTAAAGCCAGAAGGGAATTGCAAGGCTTACGTTTTTCTTTTAGCCTTCTCCTATAAACTTCCTCTACGATGGGAAATGGTGAGAGTCAAATAAAGTACGTAGAAAAAGCACATATTAGATAAATTTTGCAATTTACTTAGAATATGCATTCTAGCATACTACAAAGTACATTGACATTATTTTACAACTTTGAGAAGACCACCTAAAAATCTCACAAATCAGTAATTTTTTTTTTGCAGAAGAATTATTACTGTTACCATTCAAATACAACCTAAGTGCTTTCCTTGAACATAGTCCAAAGAATCCACAGGGTTTGGTTCTTCTGTCACCTAAATCAAGGACAGTTTCACCCACCTTCAGCATGAACAGAACAGACACACTACTAGAAGTTGAATGGTGCTGAGCTCTTGATTTATTGTCAGACCACTACCTTTCCTTTGAAATACCATAAATTATTTGGGAGCCTCATGGGAAACAACATTCTATTAGTAGAAGAGTCCCTCTACAAACCACTGCTGTTAGACAAATGAACTTTCTAGTCAGACATGCAGTTCTCTACATGCACAAGCTCTGCAGTTGAGTGAAATCAGCACAAGTATATGTTAAGTCCCCTCCTTGGAATAAACCACAGGAGACTCTGGGTAAGCCCTGAGAAAGATGTAGCACAGCACCTGAAAATTCACATCTCAACCAGGGCAGCCTTCAGAAGCATTAGTTAACACCCACAAAAGAAGTTAGTGCAGCTCAGCTGATGCACTGTGGTAAACTACACACAAACATTCCTCCCTGGAAAAGTGTCAGTGCTGCAGAAGAACAAGGTCACTAAAACCACATTCTCATGGCCCAGCAAGGGACAGAGGCCCCAGGAGTCAATATTTCGGAGAACTATGACATGACTGGTTGAGACCAAAGGCTAAACAAACTGGTTTATTTGCCATTGTCCTGTATGAACAGTGCAGTCTTAAAACAGAAACAGGCAATATCATAGAATCCTAGAACAGCCCAGGTTGGAAGGCACACTTAAAGTCCATCTGGCCCAACCTTTCATGGGACAGGGACCCTAAAAGAGACATACTTCTGAAGAAAGGAGGAATCAATGACTCTGTTTTGGGATCTTTGGACATTTAAACATTATGCTTAGCTACTACTGTGACTTTTTTTTTCCCCTTAAAAAATAGAAACTGTAAGATTTCTCAAAGAAATTTTCCAGGCATACACAAGAAGTAAATTCCTATTGAACTACAATGACGCTTTACAATTACAAATAAAATACCAACAGAAAAAGTTTCAGTGCCTTGAGGATACTTATTTCAATTTGTGCTGCTTCTATATTGGATAGAATTTCACACATTAAAGGCCTCAACTGTACCAGAACACACAGCGAATTTACACCATTTTCCCTCCCAAAATAAATTCTCTAAGTCCATTCTTGTCTCTCCTTGTTATTCCTTGGAATAAATCCTCAGCCAAGCTGCTACTGAAGTGAAGCTAAAGTATGGGTTTGGATTTTTAATATTGTTTTCTCTCCTCTTACCTCTTTCTGCCACTTCGCTGTATGATGAGGTCCTAGAGAGTTGACTTTGCAGGCGTTCTATCTCTGCATCTTTGAGAGCTAATTGCTCTTGAAGCTGGGCTATCTCAGCCTGAAAGAGAGCACAACAAAATCAGAATAACATCAGCACCAATCCTCTGTGACTCTTTCCTATGCACTGGAAGATATCCAAGTATAACACCTCGATTGATATCTTGTAACTAACTCAGGGCATTTCATAAACACTGTAACAACTATACATATTTATGTATGGTTTATTTATGGAGCATTATCCTATTCCTATTACAGAAACTCCTTTGCAATTAGCTCTTGGAGAAGACAGACTTAGGAAAAGGTACCACTTCCAAGGATTCATGTAGGTAAAGAAACTCTGGGAAGTTCTCAATGCTACAATCCTGGTCATGTAATAATAATAATGACCATTATAGGCCAACTACCAAGCTTTGCATTAAGACTATTAAAAGATAAAAAAAGCATTTTTAAACAGATACTGTTGTGGGGTTTTTTTTTAATCCTAGTTACTACTTATTAGGATAACTGAGAATCTATTAATGCTGAGCTGTCTTCTCAGCAGGATAACAAAACTGTTCTTCCTCACAACAGCAAACAGGCCAGAAGGAAAGCATGGCCTGGAAAACAACCACATACATGCAACAAAATACCAGAGTTCATTTACATTTACTGCAATTTGTGCTGCCATTAGACTGGGATAGAAAAAAAAAAATCACACATTAAAGACCTCAACAATACAGAGGGAGAAGAATTCTGTGATTGTCCAGCTTGAAATACAGCAACTCTCATCTCTTTTTCCTATTTGTGAGAAAAACTGCCAACAGCATACTTTACTAAGTCAGCAGTTTGTTAAGATTTTCTTCAGAGGCCTAAAGCCTCCATTTATCAACATTCTGAATTTACCCAGCAAAAGCATACCAAACCTCCTTGCAGTTAAAGAACAGAAGCAGGGGGGGTGGGAAAGGAAGAAAAAAAGGAAAGAACAATGTCAAAAAAAAAAATCACTAATGTGACTAGTTTCTCAAAATACTACAATAAAGCAGGAAAAAATGCAAAACACCAAACACCATTATTTAAATAGGGAAAAACATGGACTAATTAACAGACAAACTTATTTTCACCAGGAAGCAAGTGTCTGGATTGCAGGACGACATCACCACTCTGCCTAAAATTCCACGTGGAGTAGAAGAATCTGCCTTGTTGCATCTCTGAAGGGCTCCTACACTTCCCAGTGACTAATATGCTTTTTATATCTAGCAATGGAAATATTCCAATTTCTCATCTAAGAAGCTGGAACAGGAAGACAAAAGCTTGCAGACCTCCTAATACCAGATTTGGATGTGCCTCCCCAGTCTATTTCATCTTTTAAATGCCCTCTTTTCCTTTAATGTCTCATTCCTGTCCTCTCTATGATTATTTTTCTGTTTCCTTTCTCTTTCCTTGTACTTTTCTTCCTTTCCAGTCCTGCATCTTCTCTCACTCAATGAGTTTTTTGATTCTTCTTTCTTATTTTCAGTCTGCTCCTACACTTTCCATAATCTCTATCTGTCTTGGCAGCTGGCCACACACGGCTTGAGAAAATATTTTCCCAAAGACTGTTCATATCCACCACGTCAGAGAAAACATTTTCATGGATAGAAGAGCTATTATTTTAATAGGAAAAAAAGTCATGATAGCAACATTTCATTATTCATCCAAGAATTCTCAAAAGAAAGAAATGCTTATACAAATAGTAGCTGTTTGTCATGTCTGGATCAAGCTATCAAGTATTAAAAAGAAAACTCAGTTTAATAATTTGAAATGTTTCTCCAAGATCCAACCACAACTCAAGTCATATGAACAGGGATTATAGGATTATAGGAGTGAAAAGAGATGAGATTACAGCACCAAAGTGCACCTCAACAAGGAAAAATACTAAGGTGCTTTTTAATCTAGTGGAAAAGGGCTAAAAATCCAAACTAGAAATAACAGTGAGAATGTTCAACTAGAAAAATTAATTACTGGGGAAAATGATGAAATGTTTCAAATGTTGAGCTTCTCCAGATTACGATCCAAAAGCTTTCCAGGATTTAAGGTCAACAGAAGGGTAAGGCAGCCATGCACTTTGATATACACAGAGTCAAAGCAGATGATCTAATGCTGTATTTTGGGCTTAATGTCTGTGAAAATAAATTCCATAGTAAGCAAACACCCAACAAACTTTGCATGTCTCTTCTCTTCAGGCTGGAAAGTATATTCCACAGAGGCTTGTCGCTATTACACAAATAAAAGAAAGAAAACCTTCAAAGAGGCTTTTACTCAGACCAGATCTTTGTAAGTCAAAATGCCTTTCTTGGTTTCTTAAAATAAGAATTACAAAAAGGTAGGAGACTGGAAATTGCACTGGAGGGAGCAAAAGGCACAAAAAACCCCCCTCCAAAACCTTCAACCCAAAATACTTATTCCAAAGATGGTTAGAGAAAGCTTGAGGTCTTTCTAGTAGACCCTGACACAAGGTGAATGTAAGGACAGTAAATACCAATAGAAGTAGAGCACATCCCTTTCCAACTGAAATAAGTCTGTTGTTAGAAAATGCTTATTCTGCTTACTTTAGTAGCTTTTAATTTCCACTCGTATTGATTTCTTTCATTTTCCAGTTCTTCCACTTTAATTTTGAGGTGCCTAAGTTCCTGCAGCAAACCCTGCAAAGGAAGAACAGCAGCTAAAAGTAAGATTTCTCTGGCAGATATTAATTCTTCATAGTCCTGAATTAAAGATCATGCATGAAACACACAGTAAAGGGACACTGAACCAGCACACTAAAAACTGTGACCAGTCTAAGAAGTTGTCCCTTAAATGTCCCTTCTCCCTTTCCTTTATATCTTATTGTTCATTCTGAAGGACAATATTATTAAATCCTTGATGGAGCTCTGACAAGACAAAAAGTCTTAAAGTGAACTGAGGAAAAGAAAAATTTGCAGGCAACCCAATTTTGGAACTCCTGTGTAGCATATACATTAAGCATACACATTAATATCTTGGATTACAATAAAATTTATTTTGAATGACTCCCAGATTTGACTCTGAGATTATTTCTCCAATCTGCAGTTTGTCCTGTAGTCTGATAGTCCATTCAGCAGTTCTGCACAAAGGCAAACTCAGAAACAACAGCCCTATTTTCAAAATAGGTGTCATAATGAAAATAGTTATTTTTGTAATATAAACCCATAAGAGAAATTAGTGAAAAACTCCCTCACAATATAAGCAGATTACTTATAAAATGAGTTCTGGTGATTCAAATTTTAAGCAACTAAATTTTAAAGGCAACTAAAGCAATCTGATTTAAAAACAAATATTAAAATGGTCTTTTCCAGGCATACCAGTGTCATTCCACCTCCAGTGAATTTAAGCAGTATAAGCAAAGTAGCTTTTGTTTTGACATGTGACATATTTTGATCAAATACAACCAGTATCTGTCATGCAAATTCAACAATGCTTTCCTGGTAACTGCTAATGTCAGGGATTTAAAAAAAAAAAGAAAAAAAGGTGCTGGATTTGCTATTTTAAAAGTACAAGCAGATTATTTTTACTATGGCTCTTTTAATTCACTTTGACATTATCATTAGGAAAAGAAAGGATACGTGTCAGATAGTCTTAGCTGAAGCCATTTTATACTTGTGTTAAGCTTTTAAGATATTCAGGATTCAATAATCTGTGTTCAGAGGACTGGTGAGGGTGCACCCTCAAGCACAGCTGGGGTGACATCAACATGAGGAAAAGTAGCAAACTACCAAACCATGCTGGCATGCTGCGTATCAGACAAATCCCAACCCAAAAATCCAAAAAAACCCCCAAACCACACAAGCACTACAGATTTACAAGTAAAATGGAAACTAAAGAAAAACCTGAAAGGGGTGATTGGGTCTTACAGGTATCTGTGTTTTAGCAGACAGCCATCAACGGTGACCAAATCTGTCCCGATAATCAGGGGTGGGGATTTTTTTTTTCCTGGTAATTTTTATGACACTCTCACTCTTTGCTAAGCAAAGTCACAAAGATTAATGCCAAACATTCACAGCATAGCTCTGGTTAGTGGGATTTAGTTTGTGCAAGAGAAGAGAAGAGGCAATACACAGGCTTCTGCCAAGGGGTACTTCTCGTACATCACACCAAGAACAATTCTTCTGGCTCAGAGTCTCTACTGATCTTGGGCCAGATTGAGGACCATTAGGTGTCAAGTCTGGTTTCCTATCTTGAGACTTTCTTTCTTGGATTCTACTATTAATTTCCAGCTGCAGTCTACACATCTGCTCCTGTAGGTCACTGATCAGGTTCACTACTGACTGAAAACATGGGAGGAAAGGAAAAAAAAAAAAAAGACAAAAAAAAAAGACAGGTGAGAAAGAAAATGATGCAAAGAAGATATCTTTGTAGTTGCAGCACAAAGAAATACATGAAGCACATCAAAGGCAAACTAAAAAAAGACAGATTATGTGATTCCCTTCTGACAAAGCATAAGCAAACAAGTAAAAAACTGGAATACTGCACAAAGCTACAGTTTAAATGGAACAGAATCTACATTCCAGACAATTTCATGATTCTGATTCTAAAGTTAAGATCAGAATTTGGTTCCTCATTTTTGGAAACTTCTACAGTCACATGAAGTCAAATAAAGGAAAATTTGGAACATGTTTTGATATGCTGGCTCAGAGGTACACTTTTGCTGAAATAGGACTTGATTACATTCATTTTCCCTGCCAAATCATCCACTAGGAAGAAACTGCAAAGTGCTCAGTTGGGGCCATAACCTACTTTTTCACAATTTATACACAGAATTTACAAGTAAAGTAATTCTGTTTCCATGTCCAGCATGGGGCAGAAAAGTAACTCCATTCCCTCTCCTGCTATCTGGGCTGGATCTTGACATGGAGAAGGACTTAAGAAACATACTTAGGAGAAATCAAAGGATACTACAGAAGAAAAAGTAATTACTTTAACGTGTGCCAATTTGCTGGTCAGCTTCTTGGATTTGTGTGTATCAGTGATACACACACAAAAATAGCCAGCTCAGAAAGCAAACCAAAGTCAAGTATTAAAATCTATATAACATTGCACCTAAGTCCCCAAACTGTAGCAAAGAGAGTTGGGTATTTTCTCAGGTATCACAAGTTGAGAGTGACTCTCTTGGCTTTCATGTACATTTAATAACATATGTTTTGTGATTTCTCAGCCCTCTCAAGTGGAATAAATTTGATGAGCTTAATCCATCTCCCAAAGGAGCGGAAGAGATTTTAGTGGACAGAACAACAGATAAAATGGCAGGATTTTTTTTATTTTTTTTTTTTCATTACAGTGCACAACAGTCATTCTGTAACCTCAGCTCTCTGGTGAATCAACAGTCTCAAATCTAGGGAACAGTTACTGCATGGACAGGATACTGCTCTGACCAGGTAAGTATTAACACAACCAATCTCACACTGCATCAGCATCTGCAGCCAACTTAAGACATACAAAATGTGTGTACAAAGTTAGGTATGAGAGCTTCACAAGTTTAGGTATTTTTCTAGGGGCTTAAGATGTGCTTATGATGAAAGTCAGAAAAGCAGTTACATATATTTCACTTTATATGTATTATTGTCAATCGGGATCACAACGTCTGATGCTAATCCTCTGTCATCCAACAAACATTTAAGCCACATAAATGAGGAGTAGTTCCATAAACAATCAAAAAATTTAGGAAGAATACTGGTCCCTAGCAGACCAATTCTGCAATATCCAGTATTATTTAGGCTGGCATGTTTTGCCAGGGTTGCACATGTTAAGGACAGCTTCCCGAGGTGAAAATATATCATTCATTCAAAGGACATGAGAGTCACTTTACAGCCACACAATAAGTCACTAGCAAGGGGAATATCCCCCCAGCTAACTCATCCTCTACACTACAGCTGTCTCTACAATTCAGACACTATCCACAACATCTTCCATACTTGGATTTTGTTTCTTTTCTTACCCTCATCTCCACAATCAGGTACCCCACTGAGCAGTACCAGCTGGGAATTGGAATTGTCAGGACACACACCCATCTCCTTTGCTTCCTTGTAAGCACCAAAGCTTGGTCTGTGCTCGTCTGTGACACAGACACTGTTAACCCACACGAGGTTGTGTTCCTGCTCAAACAGGATGCACAGACTTCTGAGCACAAACTGAGAGCTGCTCCAGCTGTGGCAACATGGGGGAGTTCAGAAGCACTTCTGCTGTCGACTTGCAATTCTTTTCTCTTTTGCCTCACATTAAAAGTGGGAATAGGAAACACTGTGTCCACACAGACTGTCCTCAGGGCAAACTTGACAGTACAGATGAACTCCAGCTGCAATATGTACCCTTACAGTTGTTTCTATTTTCAAGGTAGGACAGGTTTCTCATTTTTGAGATTCTTTCACAGCATGAACATTTATTAACACTAATATATGACATCTTGATTCAGATGGGACAACACACCAAACTCCCCATTAAGAGTCAGTGGCTCACTGACTCAAGTTTCTTTGGAATTGCAAGTAAGTTTGCACTAGACATTTAATTCAGAAGTTACAAGAGCCACAAAATACTTGCCAACAGTTTCTAGCCAAAACCACAGCACTTATCCCATGCTAAAAAAGAAAGCAGTAGGATAGAAGAAGGGTTTTGAGGCAAGTTGAATTGGACAATTGCTACTGCAGTCTCTGGACAGTGACACAAAGTCTCTTTTGTCCACGTTTAGGTAGAGCAGGGATCTGGGCTGCTGTTAATCACTTGATAATGCCCCTCACTCATACCTTGCTACATTAAAAACCCCGTATTTTCAAAATTTCTGAGGTTTCTCAGGTAAGAGAAAAGCTGCACAAACCCCTCAGGTGAGACTTCAGAAACCTTCAAAGCATTACTGTGGCAAAAGCAGAACAGCAAAGGAATTAAAATGACAAAGCCAAGAGTGAGACAGTCCATTTACGAGCAGCTATTCTCCTGGCCCCTGTGTAATATATATAAATAAATGGCACTTTAAATTTAGTATGTGCTTTTGGAGAGCCAGAGACAAGTGGCATTCAGTGTGAAATCAATACCTTTGAGAGGAGGTTAGAGATGCTTGATAAACTCTTTGCTGCTAACTAAAACCAAACCCAAATGACAGCTGCACAAGATAAAGTGAAACGAATCTGACACATTAAAACTTGCTCATATTTAGAAGGGTATCTTAATTTGCTTTGTCTCCTCCCAACCCAACCAGAAAAATAATTCTATAGATAAAGCCTATGTGACTGGAAACAGGTGCTGTGAAATAAGCCAGCACAAAATTAGAACACAGAGCAAACACAGTTTAGCTGAATTATTCTGCAATGCCACATTTAATTTTAAACTTCTGAAAACCCATTATTATATTTAGAAATAGCAGGGTCAGCCATGAAGTATAATTAACAAGCTGTTTAAAAATGGTTTAACTACTGGATGCCTTTGCAACACATGCATCCATGTGAAAAAACTGATAGTAGCAAATCCATCAAAGCACTATTCTGATCACCTTTGTCAATCCTAAACTCAGTTTTGGAAGCAGCAACTGGCCAGCTGCAGTCCATGAGAAAGGGTTTTGCTCTGCCATCCACAGCTTTGCTCCACTCATGCAAAAAAACCCAAAACTAACTGCAATTTCATTTGAGGCATTACACACTGTAAGAGCATGTTGCAGTGGCCATGATGTGCAGAGATACAGTTACAGCAAGATTAATTTCATTTGATCACTTGTCAGTTTGGAAAACTGTCTCACTCTGAAGCAATGAGGTGACCAGAACACACCTGTGTGTGCACGAACAACAGCAAACCACAGGTAGACTGTTTGTGCATGTCAAAGTGGTTTATTCACTAGAAAGAGGAGGCAAGAAGTTTAGGAGAACAAACTATTACCAAATTTAAGCAGCTGTGGTTTAATAAAGAAAAGTTATTAATAAATTTCATTCTGATGTTTGAAATTGTGTCTGTATCGAAAAATTAGTACAATTTACAGGAAGCAAAGCTGAAATAGGGTTAAAGCATTAGAATTTAAATAGGCATCCTATTTGATTGGAAACAACCCCTGTTTGTCTTGCTATATTGGATTACTGCTTATTCAGGATAATCTGAAATAATGATACAAGTATCTCAACAAGCAAACCAAAAATGCTGTTTATTTCCCAAAGCTTCACCTACAACATCCATTTTCCTTGCTTTGCACATACACATTTTTGACTTTCAACAGGCCAGAAATCTAATCACATCCTGGGGTAGTTAATAATTCAGCGCATACTTAACACAACGATTCTCAGCTTTTCCATCAGATTAGAATCCTTTTCCATCTCAGCAGGAATGTGTCCTATCACTTAGCAATACAACAAAGGCTTCCAGGCGAACAAAGCTCAACTTTTCCACCCAAGGGGGCACACACACCTTCCTGCAGCGGCAGAAGAATTCCACAGGTCACCCTCATCACAGAACCAGACCGATGGGCTACTCAAAAAGTCCTGTCAATAAAAATGCACCCAAAAGCTTTGCTGCTTTCCAGGAGTCAGGCTGACTGGGCATTCTCATCCCGGTATTCCACATGGCATGAGAAGAGCTCAACGCCTCGGCTGCTGGGAGCAGGCTCCCATCTGCAGCAATTAGGAGCTGCTCAGACCTGTTCAGGTTTTCAGGTACTATGAAGGTGCTCAGACCTTCTGTACACAAAGCACTGACAATTAAGCGTGAAAGAGCATGAGAAGGGCCACAGATGGTAAAAGCAGCAGCTGGTGCCTCTCTGGCTTGCAAGCTCTGCCAGGAATTGCTCTCTTTAAGTTATCTTTTGATCTCTAAAGAAAACTTCAGAGAATAAATAAGCGGGAAAACAAACACACCCCAAATGTGTTATGTTGGTGCAGTTAAATTACCGATGCACAGTTATCAAATATTCCACCAGCAACGTTATGGAGAGCAAACAGTCTGCCTGGATTTCAAATTCTCCTGAGCCAATATGAAACAAAGTTTTGGGGTTTTTTTCAGTCAGCAATGTAATCCTTCTTTTCCAGGTAATCCTCTCCTGCTAGTTGATCCCATTATAGGACCACTGAGTCAGGCAACACATGGCAATTTATATGAATTCTCTCTTCCAGGACTGCTTTCCTTCCCAGCTCCCACCTGCTGCCCACTACCATGAAATGGGTGTTGTTCAGATGATGTTTCACATGTTCATTCAGTATGTTTCATACTGTCTTTCTTAACCAACACAGCAAAAAGCAAAGCTCCTTTGATGTCCAGAACTCTCCACATCTGAAGGGAATTGCCTCCAGCCCATAACTTTTTTTTTTTTTGCATTATTTATCATGTAACCACATGGCAAAACACTCATTTGAGGCAAATGCCCTGGCCCATGTCTTTCCCTCCCAAGTGCCACAAATGCATTAAAATCCCCAAGTTTGATCATCTCAGTGCTTGTAGCACCACTGATACTATTGAGCTGGCAGACTTTTCTGCCACATAAACAAGGAAAGAGCTCTGGTAGGAATGCCAGGCCAGCTCCTGTGGAAAGGAAAGGGTTAAATGAACATCAACTGTAATATATGCTTCTGGAAGGGACTGTGCCTTGATTAAAGCCAAACAAGCAAACTCTGAAGTATAATGACAGAGGGGAAAAGGAAACCACATCCCAAAAATGCATGATCACACTCCTCACTGAATTCATAGGATCAATGATACGGGCTGTGCTGTAAGCATGGAAAATCCTATTGCATGCTGACCAGCTCAAAAGCTCAGGTGTAAGACACCACATCATAGACACGTGATAGAAAAAAACCTAAAAACAAGCTAATGAAAAAAACAAAACTCACCTCAGCTTTGTTCTGTTTCTCTTCATATTCACTCTGTTCCTTTTCCATACCAACCAGCTTAATCTTCAGGTCTGAAACTTCAGCCATCAGATCTAATTTCTGTGTCTCCAGCGATGTGCGACTCAGCAATTCCTGAATGCAAAGCAGAGTATTTTCTCCAGTTATTTATTTGAACACTGACAGACTGCAATGTAATTTATTGGCAGGCCCACACTAAAGTCCCTACCCCACAGTTGAACTGTGTGTTTCTCAAGTGCTGCAGTTATTTTCACCTAAATGTTCTTCTGTGTTAATCACTAAACCACTGTGCCCCACTCCTTATTTCAATAAAATGTGTGGCAAAGTTAATCCCTGAGCAAGACATGAAATCGAGAACAATACCAAGGCTGAACAAACACAAACCTACATAATGACACATTACAAAATAGTTGGCATCTTCCTAAAATACCCATCAGACAAAGTTATGCTTTAGTATTACATTGTAGACCTTCTTGTCATTTGTTATTCAATACAGGACATGTTACAAAATGAGAACCCTAACAAAAATACCAAATTGACAAAGACAAGCAATGCTTCTGCAGTCACACTAATAGTACTTGAGAGCTTACACCATGTAGTACTTGGTAACTTTTGAAGGTTACACACTGTGGAGGGAACAGCAGTGAATGAAAGTGGTATGTCCTGACTGGAACTAAAAGGCAATCTCTAAACTGAGTAACAGTGAAAAGGAGAAACAACTGGCCTTGACTTTTGCTTTTGTGCCCCAGGCTTGTTTTTCAGATTGCAGAGAAGACATACTTTGGATGGAGTCATCTCACTGTCTTTGGAAATCATTCAATATTCACACCTTCATTGCATCTTTCAGTTTTCAAGAAAGCCAATGCCAAAAATCGTCAAAAATTCAACAGTGTTTATCTTATATATATATATATATATATATATATATATAAAACGCTCACGTTGGCCTCTATTTTCCAAAAGTCCATTCTGGAGTTTAAGCCTTATTGAAAAATTCATACCTAAACTTTCCAAGTGCCCAATGAACTTTTTCAAAAGGATGTTCGTTTCTAAATGGTTACAAGTGTTTACAGTAATTCATAAATCACATTAGTGTTTTGATCACATGAAACACACTGAGGAATCACAGCTGATTCTGCTTTGAATTACATGGAAGTGACTTAAGCTGCCATAGTTAATCTGGGTCTATGCTGATGTTACTGAGTGATCAGAATCCCCTTGTCCATCACCCTTTTCTCACCTCTTTCTCTCCCATAAACTGTACAGTGTGTTGTAGACCAGGGCTTGGAACCAAGGAAGCCACAAAGGTTATTTTAAAAATTATACAGCTAAGGTTTGTCTTGAAGCCCAATCTGCCCTACATGTGAATTGGTTTAGTCTGGTGGGGAATACTGCCCAAATTAAAAGCAGTACTAAACTTGGCATCGGCATTGCAACACCAATTATCTAAGTCACCACTATTCCCAGTGCCATGCCCATTCCTGCTGACATCAGCAATGATATTTGTGTATGGATAGGAAAATAAACAAAAATGTAGCCCCATGGTTTGGGCTTTTTTTTTTTTTTCCTTCTTCTCTAAATAAAATAAATCAAGCACTAATCAGGAAAAGATATTGCACTGACTTTTATTATTGAGAAACTACAAGAGGCAGTGCCCTAATGAAATCCCAAGAGTAGCTGCTTTCTACAAAGGTGATTGCAAATTACAATTATAATTACAAATACCTCCTCTATCTTCCAGAAAATCACTAACTTGCATGAATTTCAGAGGCACATTTCAGTCCAGACTGGAACAGGCTCTGTACAGCTGTTGACATAGCAGACTATTGCAGCTTAAGACATAGCTATAAATGAAAATTTTGATATGAAAAAAGGCCAGTGAACATCAGAAAAGGTAGCAGGATGAGGCAACTCTGGCCCTGTGGACAGACTATTCAGTGTTGAACTAAAACAACACTTAGACTTTGTTTTGGACACTGACATGATGTTCCATGATATGAGAGAAGGATTTCTTAATAAGGCAAGGAGACACGGCATCCCTCTGGAGATTTTTAACAAAAGATCTATCCTTTGAATGCACCATCTGGCATTACTCCTTTATTTTTTTTTTCCATAGACTCCTAAATGACACTAAGTTATGCAATGCAGAGCAATACACACTCACTGCTCTCCTTCCAAGTTCAGTAGCTCCGTGTGAACACGAAGGCACCACCAGGTATAAGTGAGCATGAAGGCAGCTGATTTTCTTTTTTTTTTTTTTTTAATCAGCTCTAACAAAATTTTGCAGTTTGCTCTCAGGCTGGAGAATCAGATTCCCAGCTAGAGTAAACTGGCACAAAACTCTTGACTTAAAATAGACAAAACAGCTAACTATCCCTAGTTTGTTTTCAATGGAGCTACACTGATTTAAAACAGCTGACAATTTCTCTTGCATCTAGAGAATCTAACTTTTGCTTTGAAAGCAAGTGCCGTTTAAAGTAAATGTCCCCTCTTGAAATGGTAACATCTGGAAGCAATTATTTTCATCTTCAAGCAGATGCTCACAGTGAACAGCTCATTAAGAATGTGACCCATTTTGTTGCAGAGAAATTATAGTGTATTTCAGTGGTATGATGCAACTTCAATTCGGCCAGAATAAATATGCAATTGTAAGAAAAGAAAACACAAATTTATGTTATTGATTTTAAAGCAAAAAATAAAAGATAATACAAGACAGGCAAAGTGGTAATTTGGGCTGTAGCAGCTTTAGGAGGATCCTAAAGAGCTGAAATACAGAACAGAAATAGAACATATCATAGAGAATCTTCTTTAGAAACAAGATACTTTGTTTTAGTTTTAATTTTAAAACGTACTATAAGTATAATTTAATTTCTTAAAGTTCTTTGTTTGAAACTCAACCTTTAACTTTAAAAATTAAGGGAAAAAAGTTATTTTTGAGTAGAATAATTACAAAGATGAGTCCTGCAGAAGCCACAACATGTATGTACGAGACAGATCAAGGAACAGCAAACTATTTCCAAGTACAAACGTATTTTTAAAATTCACACTGTATACTTCTAAAACATTTAACCGACTTTTCCAATATTCCCAATGAAACTGCAGCATATGCTCTATATCTCACATTCACATTTTATCCTCTTGGAAATACATAATTCTTATAAAGCAGCTTATAAAATTTAACATGACAGAAAACAGCTTGAAAAGTGGACCCTACACTTTTCTAGGGTGTCAGCTGCAAGCACAGAAAATTCCAGGATATTTAGCTCTTCATAAAACAGAAGAAACAATCATGCCATACACTGATTGAGAAACCACAAGTAAGAGTTTAGTTGAGGGGGGGGGGGAAGAACCCCCCCCCGAAGATCCCATTTTGCACTTGTGCACCACACAAAATACAAACATTCAAAAAATTCCTAACTTTTCACGCTTATTAAAAGAGTTGAGAGAGAGAGACAGACCAACTGACCTACCTGGTAAGCAACATCCAGCCAGAGCCACCACTAATGAGGACTGCACTTCTCAAGTGCTGTGTGTCAGCTGTGGTAGAAATAAGATATTTGCTTAGCTGAAAACACAGCTGAGAGCAATGTACATCTGTAATCACCATGAAATGGTGCAAGTCAGTAGCAGTCAGTGAATTACAGCCCTCCAATTCATCATCTGCCCATTATATAGCTAAGCAAGGGAAAGGACAGAACTTCCCACTGCACTGCCAATTCGAATCCGCCTGACCAGCAGGACTCCTGCCTACATTAGCTGCAAAATAACAAAGCAGTGGAATGCTCACCTGTACAGATAAGCTGGACAACTTGAGGGAAACACTCTGAAAACCTTATGGCTCACACCAGAGCAGCACAGAGCACACTTGAAAATCTGAAACGCTAAGCCAGCTGCTGGCAAGAAGTTACTGCATGCTATAAACAAGTGCTGAAATTCATCTAAGATCAGATAACTCAGGCAACTGAAAGTTGAAGGAATGATCTTTGCCAGCCAGCAATGTTCCTGAGAAGCAAGCAGATACACACCAGATTTATACCCTGCAACCAAGACAGGATTCTGGCTCCCCTGACTATAAGACAACTGCAAAACCAGAGCAGGTACACATGAAACAGCATTGGATTCAAGTTCCTACTCTCATACAGCTCCTCCCTGCCTTCTTCTAATCCACTGTTTTTCAAAAGATCCTCCACCGTGCCCCACACAGGGCACTGTCTGCCACACCTTCCCCTGGCCCTTGCGCTCAAGGTAGAAGTGGGACATAAACTGACACGAGAAAAGAGATCCAATCCTGCTAGCATTCAAACATTTCGGTTTCTTTTGTTTATTTTTTAAGATAGAAAGAGTCCTAAAACCAAGTGCTTTCTACATTGCAAGATAATTTACTTCACTGAAGACAAAACTGAGTTTACACAACACAACCATGCAACAAGAGTCCCTTGGATTGCATCTTGCAATTATGTGTCAGAAATAATGTGGAAGGCAGAAGGACCACATCCAGGATTTGGTACAGATCAGCTACAGGAAAGACATTGCCACACAGACCAGTATTTTCATTGGCAAAACAAACTGCTATACTTTATGCCAGAGAGCTTCAATGGGAATTAGTATCTGTTAAATAAATCAAATGCAGCTCTGGAATAGCAAAGGGGTAACTAACTAATCTTACAATAACTACCAAAAAATACACGTGAAAGAACTGTGGAGGTGAAATCTGTATGTGCAGAAAATTCACTTTTCAAACTGACTTAACTCAGCTGTCAAGCCTAACAGCACAGATTCCAGAGCACTGATGTGTTTACATTAGGCATGGCTGGTACTTTCTGCTATGGGACAGTTTAGGCAACTTTACAGAGCAAAATTTCCTTCTGCTTTCCAATTCTATAGCAAGCTGATAGGAGATTCTCCCAAGGCTAACACAGCAATGTTCAACATCCTCTTTTCTCTTAGAAAAAAATATATTTCTTTCTTAAAATTGACTGGAAGAAGGTACTTAAGTGATGCCACAAAGTAACTTGGAACAAGACACATATACATCATTGCTTCCTAAAACTGGCTGTAACTTTACATTTTAAAGCAGTTGATATACTGGAAATGGACTATGTCACAGCATACACTGTCTTCACAGGATAATTCTAGGCAGTTTTTTTATTTTATTTTTGACATATTCATTACAATGTGCTAAGGGGAAATGCAGGTAACTATTCACACAGGCCAGCTTTTCCATATCATTCACACATTTAACGGCAAGACAGAGACACCACTGGAAGGCAACTCAATGAGATCAAACTTGTGTTCTGCCCCCAGTCATGCTCGAGGAAATTTTCTCTTACCATTTACTATGAAGGTTGACCTTGTTTCTTGGCCCAAACAAGAATCATACTTAAAGAGTGATCTGAAGTTTTGTCATTGACTTTCTCGAGTTTTTGAAAGACCTGCTTTGTTTTTGAAGAAAGAAAATGCAAACACCTTCAAGGTGAAAATGGCTTTTCTTGATTGTAGTCTGTACTGGAAAAAGTATCCTTACAAAAGTAAAATGTTGAGTTTGACACACCATAAGCATCACATGCCTGCATTATCTGTAACTGTGCACACCAGGGCATCTCTGCCTCTCTTACACAGGGTTCTCTTGCTCCTCAAATGCTGCTGAGCTGTATTTTCTTTGGCTGTGGTTCCACAGACAGGTAAGTCAAACACACATCTCTCCATTGCCCCTGTGCCACACCTTGACCTTTTCTGTGAGCTGTTTCAACTCACCCAGCAACACACCCCCTTCCTTTTAAACCCCAAGTTTAGTTTTGTCCCAGTCACTGAGTTTGATGAGCATGACAGTATCAAATCAGTTGCAGAAGCACATAGTAAGGAAGAGGGAGAAGGATGAAAGGAGAAAGAGACCTTCTCCTTTTTGTTGCAGCAACCTTTAGATTGGTTCAGCTCATTTCTTGAAAGTTCAGATTTGACTAAGGGATGTTGCACCATCTTCTCAGAGCAATGAAGAATTGTGATTTTCTTCAAAGCAGCAGCAGTATCTGTTGCTACTATTCCACATTCAAGATGTCCATCCAAAATGCTGAACAGCCATTTTATGTTATTTGTATAAATTTTATTTTAGCTGCTGTCTCAGAAGTGGTTCCATGATCACTTTGTAGCAAGGTTCAAAACAACTGTGCATAAATCATAAGCCAGAAGGATTTTAGCCAGTAACCCCACCCTGAAAAAGAGAACAAGTCTCTGCTAGCATAGATTCAGCAAAAAGTATTTTTCAGGGTAGCATTGCATACCCTTTCTGTCGTGGGACTGCCATGTATCATCATTAAATTATCCTAAAGTATATGATTTTTGTTTTTATTGTAGCATTTTGGGTACAGAACTAATTAAGAGTCACTTTTCTTACAGTTCCCAAAATTAAAAAGCTAGGGCTTATCCTGAACTCAGGTATATTAAGTCAGTAATATGCTTATCCATACTGCAGTTAGCTGAGTTCTACTAATATACATGAAAGATTTTTCAAGCTGGAGCAGTTATCTTTATCACTCCATTTAGAAGAAGCAGTTGACTTAAGTTCACAAAGACAAAAATGGGTGGAATTAAGTATATTGTAAATAAACAAGTAGAACCATGAAATAAAACTGAATTTACACACACCTCAGGAAGGTAACAGAAGTCACTGAAAAGCAGGACACTAGCAACTGCTGGCTGAGATCTGAACCCAAATCTCCCCCAAATCCATCTTCTGAAGCCCCTGAGGCCACATACCCACTCAACTTTCTGACAAATGGTCTGCAGGAAGGTCTGTTGGCCACATATCTTACAGGAATGTCAGAATCACCACACGATTAGATCATTCTCTTCTCTCTAAATCTCAGCTCGCTCCCATCTTTTCAACAAGATGAACTGAGAAAAGAACCTTCAAAATAAACTACAATAAATAGGACCCTCTGCTGAGCCCTAATGAATGCACAAGTTCTCTGACTATTGGGATGTTGAGAGACCTAACCCGGGTTTCCCATAACCCACCCTCTACTGGGAGATGTAATCTGTGTGAGAAACAACAACTACAGCCGTTCGGAGTTATCTCAAAATTTAGATTTAAGGTTTATGTTTAAACATATCTGGAGATTCTCTGACTTCTTTAGCTTCAGTACAGTCCTTTGTAGCTTATCCCTTTAGGATCAGCTTTGTAAGCAGTTTGTGCACGTGCATAATGCCAGACGAGTAGATGCAAATGTTTTCACTGAAACAGCAAAGTAGGTGCACCATTATATTCTATTTTCAGACGCCTCAGTTTTATGTTAAATAAGGCTTTAAATTCACAGTTTCCTCAGAAGACTATCAGGGCAAAAAAACTGAAGTCAGAGAAACAATGAACAGTTTTAGCAGAAGCCACAGAACAACTATCCAGTTTTTAGGTTGAAACAGGAAGCTTCTACATTCTATTGTGAACGCCTTCCTGAAGTCTGAAAACAGATTTTCATAACTTAAACAGTTACTGTTCTTTGAATTTCACTTCAGATCTCACTGGACAACTAAATGCACTCGCTATTTGCATTTTTAAAAATGTCCCCTCAAAATAAAACCTTTTCCAGTCAGAAGCATTTTGGGCTGCAAGAGTTGTGTGACCTGGAAGGTTTTTTTCCCAAGAATCTTTGAGAGTAGTAATTTCAAAGGTTTAGGATAGAACTTTATCTTACAGAAACTGCTGCTGTTTACATAGATATGTACAAGGCTGCTTATAATAATTTCAAGCTATGATCAGTTCATAGAAAGACCTTTATATTTCACATAAAATAGTAAATTTTTAATAAAAATTTCGTGTGGTGAGAACTAGGTTCATCAGGGACAGTATCTATCCTGCAAATTTCTGGCATAGATTTTCAGGGTTATTTACAGTTTCAGACCTATTTTTGTATCTATATACTGTATTCACAGAAGATCTGCATCTGTAAAAACATGAAAGCTCTTTCACATCAACAGACCTGCAAGCTCTGCAGTAACATATGAAATTAAACATATTTAACCTATCATTTGTTCTGCTCCCTCAACATAGAACATCAAAGAGCCTGAAAGTGTCAACTGAAATAAAGAAAAATATGTCATTATATACTAATTTTCCTATATAAAAATAAAGAGAAAGTTCTTAAGTTAAGCAAAAATGGTTCTAGAACAGAACTTGTTAGAGTAATTCATTTCAACCAGCTACTTGTTCAACTTCAAAGCCATAGGAAAACAGAAGACATTTAAATAAAACTTCTTAATTCTATAACTCCTACATATATTAGATACATTTAACCTGTCTAACCAGTTACTCAGCCATGTCCAAATGAGCACAGTACAAATAAGACACAATAGTTTCATTTTACATGCTGCCACGTACAGTATTATGCAACCAGCCAGTAAAACTCTTCTGCAACAGGAAAACAAAGAAACATTCTTTGGGGGGGGAAAAAAAGTGCAAAGCAGCAAGAGAACAATAAAAGAGGCATTTTTTTAATGCCTGTTTTATCTTGTTGCCAAAGGCACTCACACATGCAGACGAGCTGACCATGTATGTTCACCCCCTCCGCTGGAGAAGATTATGCAAGATGGTTTGCAATCCAGGTTTTTACCTGTTGAAGCATTTCTTCTGTAGCATTCAGCTTCAACTGATGCCCCTCAAGACAGATTTCCAAGTCCCGGATTTTTTCTCCCTGAGCTTCCACCTGGTCTGTAAGAACACTCACCTGTAATTTGAGCAGAGAAGTACAATGCCACTGAACTGACTGTAAATAAGTTTCAATTACCTTATACACATAACATCCAAAGGCACGTTTTAACAGCAAGTTTAATATTCTTGTGCACTGCAGCAACCTGCTCTACCAAGATTTTTCAGTCTTACCTCTACTTTGCTTCAACCACGCCCTCTCATCCCCCCCTCCCCCACAATTATTTTGTTTCGATATAAAAAAGAGAGAGCGTTTCTAGAAGAGATGGAATGCTACCCACAGGTAGGCATTTCATGCAAAAGTCTGAAAAATTAAAAAGCAGCAAACAAGAACATAGGATGCTGAAAATATTTTATGTGGTTTTGGAGCACACACTGCTATTTCAAGTTCTGTTGGCATTTCACTCCCCAAAACAGATAAATAGGAAAACTGTTCATTCCGAAACCAACCAATTACTTTACTTCTTACAAGACCAGAAAACCAGCTTACCTATCAATAAAGCCTTCTGAAGTTATAAAGAATGTAATGAGTAAAAGGCATGTTTTAGCAGTGACAAAGTTCTATTCCAAGAAAAATTCCCAGGCTTTGGCAAGCCAGAACACGAAACCAAAAGAAGTGAGATACAGACAATGAATCCCAGGAAAAGAAACAATAAACAATACTGGTAAAGAACTGTGGGAATGGTGGTACAGACCAGTGTGTAATAAGAAAAGCCCAGCAGCTGAATTCAAAGCTTGCAAAGCAAAAAAAACTACGGCCAGGATAACATTGGAAAGATGTGGAAAAACACCCCAGTGTTAATTCCTGTGTTAAGCAGCATATACTGTCTGTATGTTCATTTTCACTATTTATTTATATAAAAGCCTTGATTATATCAGAAAAATATTATCTCAAACAAACAAAGAAAAGGAGCCTAAGGTGTTTAAAGTCCATTTTGAGGGAAATGCATTAACAAAACCTTATCCATGCTCTCATATCCAACCCCGCAACACGTTTAATAGAAAAAAAAAGAAAAAACAAAGGTACAGTATATCTAAGTGAAACTTTTAAGATGTACCCACTACACAGCATTTCTAAAACCCAGTGAACAACTGAGTTCATTTCAGGGAAGCTGCAGAGGGAGAGACTGAATGATCTGTTTTTGTTTTACCTGCAAACATAATGACAAGCATGCCTGGGAAAGGAACACAGAAAAAAAAGAAATAAACCAAAAAAGACTAATTTCCCCCCCCTTTAAAGTAGCTGGCTGCAGCACAGAGTACAGATGAACTGAGGATGAGAGAAGATAGGAAGGAGTGGGTGGAGGCAGATGGCAGGGGGACACATCCAAGCTGGGGCAGGAGGAGAACTCCCTGCAAGGAAGTCTTCTGCTTGTCTGCTTTTCTGTTTTGCTCTCATTAAAACAGGGATGTCACACAAATGCCCCCTGTGAGGTCAGAAAGCAAGAGGAAACAGCCTGATGCAGGTTCCAGAGAAAGAAAACCAGCTCTGTTTAGAGTGTCAGGTTAGGTTCCAACCAGCACTGCAACCGAGAAGCAAAACTCTGTATGTTAAATGTGACCTGCAAAGGAATTCAGTAAAACCTTAGTAGCTTTAAAAGCATGTGTTGGCTGCTCCAGGAGTTAGGCTGAGAGGCACATTAGCCACTTTGAGCTCATATTTTCCCCTCTGCTCAGGAACACATCTGCCAGACTCTTCAGGGAATCAGTAGGCTGCACACAGAACATAATCCCAGTTTATGCTACCCTGCCAAGTCCATCTTGCCTTAGGAGGGCAACACCTGCAACACTCAGCCTGTAGGTAACATATTTTCTGTGAGTATCTATAAAAGTGAGGCATACTGAACAATTAGCTAAAAAACCAAGTGGTATAGAGGTTAAAAACTTCTTTGCGAGAAAAAATCCAAATCAAAACAAAAAAAATCCCCCCCAAAAATGCCTAAAGGAGAACATTAGCTGCTTCACATAGGCAGTGAGCTGTAAGAAGGTATCCCAGATGCTGTAGCATTCATTTCCAGCCTCCACTTCAGACTGAACAGTGGAAGTAGGTTTCCAGGTGCACTGTTTGACTCAGCCTTGGTGGACAGGAGTAGTGGGCACTGCCTGTGCCCAGTACAAAGTGCCTTGTGCTGCTATTCATGCAGCAAGTCTGATGCAAGACTGGAGTGCTCCCAGCCTCATATTCCCTGCAGATTACAGCTACAGGCCACAGTCATTAGCACAATCCAACATGAGCCATAGAATAGAGGTGCTCTGTTTCCCATTCCTTTCTCATCCTTCATGCCAATGGTTACACCCAGGAGCCAGGTTTGTACCAGCAGACTCCCTCAGGCCAGTGTAACCTCACCATGGGACTTGCCTGTGCTCCTCATATTCGACTGCCTAGATTGAGTATGCACAGCTGGTGCAAACCAGGTTCTAAACCCAGCACCATCATGGCATCTCTGTTGTTGTTGTTGTTGTTGTTGATGTTCATCTACCAGACTGAGGTTTTTGTCTATCTTATTTGCCTGGGGCTTTTGCAATTCTACTGCAGAGCTGTGCAGTGGGAACGGAAAAATTCATAAATATTGACTAAGCTTTTTGATTTTATGGGAGGGTGATGGGAGTAAAAGGCAAGAGAAGGACAATTTCTACACCTGATTTTACTATATTCCTTTTAAGAAAAACTGTAGGCAGGTCTCCAAACCATGTAATAGGAATACCTTCTTTGTGCATTTGGCTTGCTCCATCCTTGGGTACCTATTTGTGCGGACGAAGAAATAGTTACTAAAAATCTGCGGGACAAAGACAGGGAAAGCACACACTGAGCAGTAGCCTGGAGGCTACTTTCCTGAAGGAAAGTTCCTTCAGGAACTTTTAAGCACTGGAGAGTTGTGGTCCTGTTAAATCCACACAAGCTGATACACTTTGAACACCAAGACTCTGCCAAACCTGTTCAAGCCCACCAGCACCCACGACCATCGACCACCGGGTAGCACGAACAGATCTACAGCAAGATCACAGGGCTAAACAGACACATGAGAAACAAAGGAGGGTCTCACAAGCAAAGCCACAGGTGCACCAGTGCAAGCCTCTGCTTTGGAATAAACAGCTGGGTTTGGCCTCCTAATTGCTGCTCCAGTTACGAGCTGCTCGTGTGCGCAAGTGACTGTGCGAGACGTGAATGTGCCGTGTGAAAAGTTGTTTGCTGTTACTAATGGGATCAGGATGCAGGAGTTAACAACCCCTTGATTAATGAAAGGTGTTCTCACAGATATCAGCAGTGATGTTGCCTCCCTCAGAAAAAGGGGAATTTGTAGCACACACTTAAACACCTAAACTCCAACCAGAAGTTTGTTTTTCGTTCAGGGTTGGGTTTTGTTTTTCCCTAAATTTGGCAATAGCAATTTTAGTTTAACAGTAATGAAGAAAATCCAACCAAGCCAAAGCTTGTGTCTCACAAAACATTTATTGTTTATTTAACAACAGCAGTGAGACTTCTGCTCAGTAAATGAACACAAGTGTGAACAGAACATACAGGATAAGACATGCTTACAGAAATTGGTGACTGAAACAGCTACCCAACATACTTAAGTTTTGTTTGATATAAATATATGTGCTTATAATATGTTTTTGTAAGCAAGAAGAGAAAGGATAGGCAAAGACCATTTAAAGAATCTCCAGCTTCAGTTCTGAAAAGCATGGAATATACAGTTCAGTAATAGCAAAAATACGCAGAAAAAAATAATTAAGTTTTTTTTTAATTTGTTGAACATGCGTTTTCTCCAGGAGGAAAATTTATATGGGACAGAGGATCTGTTTGACAAAGGGTTGGTAAACTGAGAAACAGGAAACCTGGAGGAGCTTAGGCATGAATTTTAAAAATGTCATTTTTTTCCCCCCTTTATCTTCCCCTTAAGTTTTTTGATGATGTAAACAATTTTGGTACAGCATACAAGCAGGAAAAATAGCTGTTCTCTCTACATGACAGTCTTCCAGTTCACTAAAAACGGTGACACACAGAACCTAGAAAACTGGTACAGCTGAGCAAATCTAGAATGAGAACCACTATCACAGCAGTGTCTTGGGACTCCACAGCATTATTTTTCATCTCTCTGTCAGTCTCCCTCCTCTTAGTGCTGTTACTCCCCCTACCCCACCACGAAATCAATCAGAGGGATCATACAAATTATAAATTAATTCCTGATCAAATATCAGTTACATTTGGTGATCTGCTCACATTTGTATAACAGAAAATACTCTTTCACTTCATCATTTATTCACTGAACAGCAACTCTGTAGACAATGTCTCTCTTTAGGACATACCTGCAGTATGAGTGACTCTTTATCACCTTCTAATCGTGCCAGCCTCTCTTGATAAGTTTCATTATTGGATGGATGATGATTCACCTGTGACTGGGGAAAAAAAGTGCTGTGAGAATTTTTACAGTTTCAAGCAATATTTAACAAAAATTATATATATTAAGTGGGTTTTATGATACCAAAAATATGAAAAAAAAGTGTCTACAGACAAAAAATGTTCATTTCATGTGCATTAAATGTACCTTTGTACATCTGAATGCACTTTTTTTTAGCTGGATTTTAAATACTGTGTCATTTGCAGCAATCAAGAATGGTATAGGAATAGACTGATATTTTCTATCAAATTATAATTTCAATGAAAAATACCATCTTATCAAAACAAAAACCCTCTAATTTGAAATATCTGGTCTTGACACTCTTTTGCCAAGGTCAAGGAATCTTGGTGTTTCAGTGGTAAAATCTGCCATAGGTATTATACTATTCCTTGAAATTACTGAAAGAAAAGTCGAATTTTTTTGTTAGCAATTAAAAAATTATTTAAGTTATCAAATTCTCATTGGAAATTACTCTAGCCACATAATCACTTATGGATTGCTAAACGGCTCTAGGGAGCAAAACCTTCTAAAACATGGCCTGCTTCTAACTGTTAGGTCCCATTTCCTATGAATTTTAATACTTCAGATAGAAACACCACAATTAAAAAATCTGCAGATGTATTTTAAAAAGTTTGGAAGAGTCTCATAGCCTTATCCTCCATACCAAACCATTGTGTAACTGTGGGAATGTTTGCTCAGAGCATCAAAAGTAACCTGAGCCCTCAGAGGTTCATTTCCCAGCTCTGTTGCAGGCAATGCATTTCTGCCAGGGAATGTAACACTGTGCCTGGCTTGTCAGCTAACCCAAGAATCCAACTTCAATGAGTTCCCTTCAACTGCACTCATCTGCAGCTGACTCCTCATTTATAGTTACTTGCATAATGGCACCAATATAATGATAATCCTCCTCCCCAACTGTCCTTTCTTTTTCAACTGAACACTTGTGAACAGGATTTAAAAAAATTATTAGCTATATACATAGCTTCTTGATCTACACTGAGGTCTACAGGCACAAATGTAACACAGATGATGAAAATACACGTGGTGCTAATTAATGCAAACCAAGAAATCAAATTTTTATTCAATCAGAAGAGACTTTTCAAGCCATAAAGTGCTAAACTAGATATAAGTATGGAATCTTTACAAGCTGAGAGAAACCAAGCACCCTTGTCTCTGATTAAGCTGAAAGAAATTGAGAGAATTACAAAAACACCAACAAACAGTGGTGAGAGATGTCTGAAGAGATCATCTGGTTCACTGTTTGGATTACAGAGACTTTCCATCTTCTTCTTAGGTACCCATCATTAGAACATTTTTCTTAATGTCCAACCTGAATCATCATCTCTTCAACTTCAACCTACTGGTGTTCATCATACCACCATGGATAAAAGAAAGGTTCTTCACTTCAAAATTTTTTTTTTAGTTATTGCAAGACTGTCTGTGGATCTCTAACTAGCATATCCCCCTTCAGTTAAACATACACAAGTTTTTCTGCCTTTTCCTCACAGGTTAATTTCTCAAGAACTGGTTTGTTGCTTTCTTTTGGTTCCTTTGCACCAATTGTTCCTTGACTTCTTTTGAAATTAAGTGCCTAAGAGGAGACACAGCACTCCAGCTGCAATTGGCTTCAGTGGAAAAACCTTTTCACAGACCCTTGGGCCGTATTTCTTTTCATATTAACCATATAGTAAAACTCACATATTTTCAGCCTAGGACCCATAACTTCCCATAACTTTTTTAATGCTCTTATTTAGCTGCCATCCTGTTCCTCACTCAGTGTTTACTCTCTGTTTCTGCCTAAATGTGTAACTTTGAGCTAGTCTACACTGAATTGCATCCTATTATTTATAATCTTTTCCTATGCATCAGGCTCTTATGTTTTAATCATGGCTGCAAGGTCCTTAACTAGAATCACCTATAAATTCACTAAGCTTTGTCCTTTGTCTCTGTTTAGAGGGTCAACAGGAACATTAAAAACAGGATGTGCAGAACCTCACTCCACACCTCACTTATTATTCATTGTCAAAAGAAGAATATGTTAACTCTACCCAAATACACCTTTGTCACAAGGTTTTGACCAGTTTATAGCAAGTACAGCTAAGATTCAAGACCTAAGAGAAATGGCTCTAAACATGCAGATGTGAGTGCACAACATACACAAACAGAAGTCTCTGATAAAGTTTTACCGTGGCACCCGTAAGGAGATGGCCCATGCATTAAAGGAATGATGACCTCACTCACTATTTTTCTCCTAACGAGTTTTAATGTTTTAGAATTTCTATCCTCACATCTCAGTGTTAATTTTTTCAAGCCTCGTCCTGTTATTAAGAAAAACCTCCACCCCTTAAACCCCCCTCCCAGTTTTCATAAAACATGTTTAACTTAGGCCCTCTGTGTTGAGTTAGTCAGTCAGTCAGCCACTCTCTGTGGTCTTAAAGTTTGTTCCTTATTAATTTTTGTGGTACTGTAATGAAACTAAACATTCTTTATAAGTAAACAGTATGCATTTCTGTATGTCTGCCTAGACAAACCTTTGACCTCAGCTCTGCATCCTCAATCATCCTACCAGACATCCTGCCTGGGTCCTTACTCCACAGAGAGAGCAAAGTCTTACACTGCACTTAAGAATCCAAAATCTTTAGCCTTAGCAGCTATGTTTCCATCAGGGTTAAGACTTCATTACATGCCATTAAATGAGTTTTCTCAATGGAGAGCCCACCAGCCTTCCCCAGTATATCTCTGGTTCACATCCAGTGGTTGGGGGAGGCTTTCCTGCACCTGGAACATCAAGTATTCAGGGAAGAACCGCATGTTGCTAGGCAGGAAAAGAGTCTCCTAATGACAGAACCTAATCAAGTAGATTTTGCACCCCTTCTCCTGCCATCATGTGCTATTTTTTCTAGGCTAGATTTAAGAAACTTACCTGTAACCACTTGTGCAAGCATTACTGCCAATGCATTGTTACATAAACAATCTGCCGTCAATGCAAAGTGGAGTTCAACATTTTTTATAATCCATAATTTAGAATTAGTTCAACACAGAATCAATAGATATTTCACTATATACCAATGTAAAGCCTAGTGAATCACCCATGGGAACAGAAAAGGGGGAACAACACTACACCAAAATATCAACCCTGCCCATAGGTCAGTGAGACAGGAAAGTACAGTAGACAGAAAAATGACCTGCTAGATAAAAGTGTCTGATTGACACCCAGCAGTTGTTTCAGACTTGGTAATTCTTCCTGGCATGTATAAAGACAAGATAAAACAATGTAACATGAACCAAGGTCATCTGTGGATGGTTGGAGTGCATTCTGCAGTTGTGAAAGTCAGCACTGAGAGGAAACAGCAAGTGTAGTCAACGTGTCACACGTATCAGCAGCAACTGAATAAAAGACTTGTAACACTAAAGACATAAGGCTGTGGATGAATTCCAGTTGGTGTAACAGTTCACAAACAATAAACACAGGTCATGTGGTTGCACAAGTCTAAAAGGTTGAATCAACAAGATTTTCTACTAAGCTAATATTTCAGAAGATGTAGCATCAAAGACCAAAAATTGTTACCTGGGCTTGACAAATTATAAGTTAACGTTAATATTAATTATGTTTCTTATAATGAAAGAATGAGAGAAATTGCATAAAACATGTAAAGAAGTTCATGATAACACATGATAGCAAAGTAGAAGCAAAGTACCACTGCAGATGAAAAATCAACTGCATACCATAAATACTTTGCCTCCAGGAATCCTTAACCAGCAACCAGCACCTCCTCCTTTTGCACCATTAAACCATGTCCTCAAGTGCCATATCTACACATTTTCTGAACTCTTCCAGGGATGGCGTCTCCTTTATGTGAAGAAATTTTTCCTAATGTCTAATCTAAACCTCCCATGACACAACTTGAGACCATTTCCTCTTATCCTGTCACTTGTTATCTGGGAGAAGGAACTGACCCTCACGTCACTACATCCTCCTTTCAGGCAGTTGTAGAGAGCAATAAGGTCTCCCTTGAGCCTCCTTTTCTCCAGGCTAAACAGTCCCAGCTCCCTCAGCTGCTTCTCCTAGGACTTACTCTCTAGACACTTCACCAGCTTTGTTGCCCTTCTCTGGACTCGTTCCAGCACCTCAATTCCTTCGTTGTCCTGAGGGGCCCAGAACTGGACACAGCACTCGAGGTGTGGTCTCACCAGTGCTGAGTACAGGGGGACAATCACTGCTCTGGTCCTGCTGGCCACACTATTCCTGATCCAAGCCAGGATTCCACTGGCCTTCTTGGCCACCTGGGCACACACTGGCTCATGTTCAGCCACTGTTGACCACCACACCCATGTCCTTTGCTGCCAGGCAGCTTTCCAGCCACTCTACCCCCAGCCTGTAGTGCTGCCTGGGGTTGTTGTGACCAAAGTGCAGGACCTGGCACTTGGCCTTGTTGACCCTCATACAACTGGTCTCAGCCCATTGATCCAGCCTGTCCAGATCCCTCCACAGAGCCCTCCTACCCTATGAGCAGACCAACACTCCCACCCAACGTGGTGTTACCTTCAAACTTTCTGAGGGTGCACTAAATGCCCAGGCTGTCCACGAAGATGCTCAGTAGGGCTGGACCCAACACTGATCCTGGGGAACAGCATCCGTGACTGGCCACCATCTGGATGTAACTCCATTCACCACCACTCTCTGGGCCCGGCCATCCAGCCAGTTTTTACCCAGTGAAAAGTACACCTGTCCACACCATGGGAAGCCAGGAGTTGCAAAGCAATTTCTTGAAGCACCTGCATTATGGTCTCCTTAGAGATTTTGGGTGTACTTTAATGCGCGTCATACTGCAAAAGATATTAGCACGAAAAGTTTCCTGAAACAATTCCAAATCAACTGACTCACCCAGTTCTAGAAAAAGAAAAGCAAGAAAAAAAAAAAAAAAGCAAAGCTTTTGCATTCCATCACCTGCTTTAGCTTCTTGTTCATTTTTAGGTTCCAAATCTCTCTTTGGAATA